TACTCTATTCTATTCTATTCTATTCTATTCTATTCTATTCTATTCTATTCTATTCTAATCTATTCTATTCTATTCTATTCTATTTTATTTTATTTTATTTTATCAAATTTATTTTATTTTATTACATTACATCCTCTTCTATTCTGTTATATTCTATCAAATTCTTTTCTATTTTATTCTATTTTATTCTGTACCCGGATATCCTAGCTTGAATCATTTTATCCAGAAAGTGAGTGATTCAAGAAAACTGAGACACAAAATGATTAAACATTAAAAAAAAATTCTTATCTACTGCCTGGCAGAATCCATTAAAAAAAGATTAAAGTAAATGTCAATCATGAAGGAGAATTCGTAAAAAATGACAAGAGGTAGGGGAGGAAGGAAACATAAATAACTATTGATTAATACTTTTTTATTTCTATGCAATGTTTCTGCAAAAAAAGAATGTATTCATTTCTCCTTCTGACTATTTGCAATTTTTCATGAATAATGTAACTTCTGATTTTAAAGATTTTGTTATGAAAATAATAAATAATTTACATAATATCAGTAACAAGCTTGTTTTTTATTGAATTATTAACATTCAATGGTTTTACATTTTAACACTTGTAATTGATGTAATTAAACCAATTTCTGACCCTCCCCCCCCCTCAATGTTGTTCCCTGATATGATGTCAGGCTAGGCGAAATATTTTATTTTATGCTTTAATTTACATCTGGTGACTTGCACTATAGCAAGCATGGCTTTCTATAGCATAACCCCATTTATACCACACAACTGCAGCGAATACAAGTTAGAAATTAAACATTTTCTCTGTGTAAACAATAAACATGCCATGCTCTTATATGCCGAGTCCATTAGCGCATGATCCAATCAGGGTTCAATCATGTGTTTGTTGTCTATTCTGAACCAATAGAAATTAGTATGGCGGTAACAACTATCTTTCTATTATCCAATCAGAGTTATGAATCCTTCAATCGTCGCTATCAGTAAATGGAAATATTTACTTCTACTGAAACAAATGGAAAATTCTATAAGCCCTAGAATTCATTAATCAAATCCACACAAATATCATTTATGTTCTGTTATGGTTGTTGAATTTTAGATAGATAATATTGGAAAAGTTTTTAAAACTGAATTAGATTTGAAAAGATTTCAAAACATGTATTATCACAAAGTTTGGCCTAAAAAAAATCCCTCAATTTTCGGGGTTTTTTTTACTTGTTATCATTCTACTTTATTACTTTATTATTATTTATAGCATTACATAATAATGAAAAAGCAGTTAAATAATAAAGGGAATACAAAATTAAATTAATTGAATTTACAAATAAACAAACATTAAAAAAAAAAACATTTGACAATCATATGCAAGGTTTTAATTATTTTTAGCTTTTGATAATTTGAGAGATATACGGAACGAATTTTTTTAAGGAAATAGTCTTTAGCACAAGCTCAAATGTTATAATCATTATATCTTTGTAACCTGATGGTGTAAACTTTTAATATTTCAAACTTAGTTTTTTTTGATCCAACAAAGTTCATAGTTTGAAATAACCAAGGTCTACAACATTGGGTTGCAAAGAAATAGGGATTAGAAAATCAGAGTTTGTGGCAAAGACTCAATTTCTTTTTAGAAATTTCTTTTACTCAACATTATAAAAAGAATTAGGACATTTCGTTTTTATTAAATTCACCTACCCCCCCCCCCTCCTTTTTACTTTCTGCGCATGCTTAGGTTTAAAGGGTTAACTACCTGCCCCCGGTAATGGATGTAAACCAAGGAGTATGAAATAGGGAGATAAAACTGACGGGGCCCGCCCTAACATATGATTATACATGCTTTGCAGACGGGTGCTCCATTTGAATGAGAAATATTTTTATGGTGTAATTACCGAATATACAACAACCTATTCTGAATATTTCATATGCAAATGGAGTACCCGTCTGCAAAGCATGCATAATCAAATGGTATCTCCCTTCTATTTCATGCTCCTTGATGTAAACCCTAAATGCTAACCGTGGACCCCAACATTACTATAGTATCATACTATTATTAGCTGTTACAACTTCAGAAGACAGCTGGGAGTTGTCGTGTACATATATATATATATATATACAATACGACTATAGCATCATATACGAGGACTAGTGTGTACATATATATATATATACAATGCGACTATAGCATCATATACGAGGACTAGTGTGTACATATTAATGCTACTATAGAATCATATAAGATGACTAGTGTGTACATATTAATGCGACTATAGAATCATATATGAGGACTAGTAGTGTACATGAAAAAAAAACTTAACGCAAAATAATGAAAAATATACTTTTCCACATTATTTTCCATATTCTTTAATACGATCTAATTTAATTCTTCATGTTTCTAGGCAGTGGAAACCTATCTTGAGCACAACCTACTCATACTCTTCAACTTCTCAGCCTGCCCTATACTGCCTGAGCCCTGAACCGGCATAAGTGACGTCATCAAATATATGATGTTGTGTAGTGAGGTGAGTGTACACTAGAGCGCCCAGGAGTCAGGGTACCTACTAGACCTGGAGAGAGAAAAGAAGCAAAAACTATAAACTAACAATACTATTACTATAGTACACTACAGTGCGCTCACAACTCCGGAGAACTAAACACATAGGATTAGTTTCTTACTCTGGGTGCGGTTAATATCTAGAAGTTGTCAATTCGCGTGGGTTTAGGGAGTGTTCATTTCTCCAGATTGTATTCTAAAGTGATGTGTTAAGGTTGTGTGAAGCTAAACTATGAGCCTGGAAGAGGAGGAGAGACCTGTCTTTAACTGGGTAGAGAATGTATCCCATCTCTGCTATAGTGAAGAAGGGGATGGATCTCATGGTTGGTGTGGCTGGAAGGATGAATGCTCCGGCAAGGGAATGGTTCTTCCTCTGTTCTTTGAGGAAACCTGGCCCTGGCAGCTAAGAGCATTTATTTATTGTTTACCTCCACACTAGACCCCCTAGACAGCTCTGATATCTAAAAAGATTGTTTATGAAAACATATTTACAACTAAGATAGGGGTATCTATGTTTAATTTACATGACAAGTTTATCCGGGTACATGTTTCCTAAATTCACTTATTCATTAGGTTCCTAACAGCTGTATTGAGTAGGGTTCCTATCATCTTTTAGGGGTAGGACGTTTTTTTTCTCTTTTAAATATTTTTTATCAGATCTTATGTAAAGGGTTCCTAACTTCTCTTTAGGAAAGGCTTCCTAACTGATGTCATAGGTAGGGTTCCTGACTTATGTTATGGGTAGGATTCTTAACTGCTCATACGGATAAATTTCTAACTTTACTTATGGGTAGGGTTCCTAACTGCACTTAGCTACTGGTAGGGTTTTCTAACTACTCTTATGAGTAGGATTTTAACTGCTCATATGGGTAAGTTTCTAACTGCTCCTATGGGTAGGTTTCTTAAACACTCTTTTGGTAGGGTTTCTAACTGATCTTATAGGTAGGGTTTCTCAATGCTCTTTTGGGTAGAGTTCCTTACTGCTCTTATGGGTAGGATTCTTTATTGCTCTTATGGGTAGGGTTCCTTATTGCTCTTATGGGTAAGGTTCCTAACTAATCTAACGAATAGGATTCTTAACTTATCTTATGGGCTAGGGTTCCCAACTGCTACTCCAGGTAGGGTTCCTAAATTCTATTATGAGAAGGGAGGAAGGGCCGGAGAGGGGGGGGGAGTTCTTTAATGCTGTTGGTATAGGGTTTCTGACTGCTTTTATGAGTAGGGTTCCTTCCTGCTTTTATGAGTAGGTTTCCTTCCTGCTTTTATAAGTAGGGTTCCTTCCTGCTTTTATGAGTAGGGTTTCTTCCTGCTTTTATGAGTAGGGTCCTTCCTGCTTTTATGAGTAGGGTTTCTTCCTGCTTTTATGAGTAGGGTTCCTTCCTGCTTTTATGAGTAGGGTTCCTTCCTGCTTTTATGAGTAGGGTTCCTTCCTGCTTTTATGAGTAGGGTTCCTTCCTGCTTTTATGAGTAGGGTTCCTTCCTACTTTTATGAGTATGATTCATAAATTCTCAATTCCCCTCCACGTTAGCTCATTTCGCCCTCACATTAAGGATCTTATGAACGTTTTAAACCTGTAAAACCCAAACTTCTTTAGTGCCGAACGTAAACTCTCTAAATCCTATGTAGTTGATCCTGGTATCGTGACCCGATATTTTTATTATCCTTTCAATAATACTCCGTGGAGATGAGATTATGCAGGAACAAGTCACTGTGAACTAGTCAGCAGGAGAAGGTCAAATTTATGCAAAATTACTGCTACGACTTTGTGACATCCTACCTCCTCTAGTTTTGATTTTATACAAAAGTATGAAAAGGGCAAATTTTGTCCCATATAAACAAGTTTGTTCTTCTCAATATCTCTTCAATAAGATTGGTTATGTTTGGAAACAGAAAAAAATCAAATCTTACGAGAAATGAATTGATTCTTCGCTGCAAACTCCAATTTTCTAAGCCCTATTATGTGCAACCTGGTGGTGGAAACCTTTCACATTTTAAACTAATATTCTTTAATCTAAGCTAATTCATAGTTTGAAATATCTAAGGTTTATGACATTAGGTTGCACAGATATAGGGATTAAAAAATCAGAGATTGTAGCAAGGACTCAACTCCTTTGCATAATTTTGAATAGAAGTAAATAACAGATAAATTACATCTGAATAACAAATTATAATAATAATTAATTAAATTCATAATTCGATCAAGTCAATTTGTAGAGTAAAAATTATAATTGTTTAAACATAAACGTTTTTGCAAATTAAAATTATATCAAATGGCATTAAAAAAATAATCAATAAATACGGAGTAACAAATAGCATACACACGCATACCAAAGGAGACAATAAAAAATACTTTTGACGCACAAATAAAGAAGAAAAGAAAAGAGACCGAGTGCTAACAAACAAATATATAAATAGATGATTGCCCGCATGAGCTTATACAGAAATAAAAAATGAAAATACAAGTCACTAAACACAGATAACTTATTGCATTTTTATTTTCATCAAAAATCACATTATTCTCAACTCTATAACATTAACGTAGTCTCAAATTGAGCTAAAATGGACGGAAATGTAAAAGGATAAAAGATATTTCTTCAATAATTTTGAAATATTTAATGTTAAATGCTTTATTCTGGATATTTCACGAACTGAATTAATTTTTTATTGTTTTTTAAACGACGTGAAAATTTATGTTTACATGAAAGGTTTATTGAAAAATATTAGATTTTTGTATTGAATTACACGTTATAGATAAAATCTATTCATATTATCTCCCTCCCCTCTCTTTCCTCACGTTCTCCCCCACTTCTTTTTATTTATATCCTACCCCTCACTTCCTCCTTACTTCATGTATTACTTCCCCTTTCCATTCACCTTTTTATTTATATCCTACCACTCACTTCCTCCTTACTTCATGTATTACTTCCCCCTTTCATTCCCCTTTTTATTTATATCCTACCCCTCACCTCCTCCTTACTTCATGCATTACTTCCCTCTTCCATTCAGTTTTTTATTTATATCGTGTTCACTGACTTGAAAGGTGAAGAATTGAAGACTTGAAAAACAAAATATTATAAATGTTATTTTCGCAATTTTTTAATCAATATTAAATTTATGTCTCTGCATGATTAAGCGCAATATGAGAGAAAAACATATTTTATTACCTCTCCGATTTTCGGGGTAAAAAGTATTGAAAATGAGTTCTACAGGGTGATTTTTAAAAGTCGATTTAAAAAAAACAAGGTACAACAAAAAGATAGTTTTAATATGTACTAACTCGTCATTACATGGCATTTGATAAAGAAATTAATTATCTCCAGCATTGCCGATCTTTCTTTGCTTAAGAAGGCTCTCAAACAACTTTCAAACTTTGAACCCGCGACATTTGGACAATTTGACTTTTTTACATCACATAAGGACGAATTTGATATTTTAAAAGCTGGAATTGTATTCTACAAAATCTTCTCATATATCTAGGGGCCTTATAAGTTATTATAACTGAACCTGGTCAGAAACCATAATTAAAATTTTAAAAAATATATTTTAGTGAGAAAATGGTGAAAAATCCCGTAGTTTTGACAGTGTTTGACCTGTTTAAGGGAGACCTGTAATATTTTTTCTATGTGTAGCCATTATTGCTTCGGGAATTATCAAATGTCAGACAGTATAAGTAAGAAATTGTGAGATATTCTTATATAATTTTCTGGATTTATCATCCATTTTGCTAATCAAATGAAAAAAAATCGACTTTTAAAAATCACCCTGTAGACTGGATACAATAAATTTCAAGAAGAAAATAATCTAAATTGAAAAAAGTGCGAACAATATATGGTCTTATTTTTATACAGATTAGAAAATATTCAATTAAAATGTCGAATCCACAAGTATTGAATGTAATGTTATGAATGTATTGTTATTTCATGACCCGGAAATACATTATTATTTCGCAGAGATAAAATATATGCTATCTCTGCATATTGTACAATTTAGATACATACATATAATATACATCTGTGTTATCGGAATATCTATGTTACGTAAATAACACAGAAGGTTGTCTGTCTTTTTTGGAGATTATTGTGACAATTTTGCTTCTTACATGTCGTATCGGCCAAACCGTAACATTTAAAGGGACTGTATCGGCCAAACCGTAACATTTAAAGGGACTGTATCGGCCAAACCGTAACATTTAAAGGGACTGTATCGGCCAAACCGTAACATTTAAAGGGACTGTANGAGATTTTTGTTTTTTGGGGGACTTTATCGGCCAAACCGTAACATTTAAAGGGACTGTATCGGCCAAACCGTAACATTTAAAGGGACTTTATCGGCCAAACCGTAACATTTAAAGGGACTTTATCGGCCAAACCGTAACATTTAAAGGGACTGTATCGACCAAACCGTAACATTTAAAGGGACTGTATTGGCCAAACCGTAACATTTAAAGGGACTGTAAGTGACTCTATCCACTTACAAAGATGTCTGATCATGTCCGAGTTAAACAGCAATGTTTACAATTTTGAAAACTTCTAATTTTTCAATTGTGAGTACCGTTGTGAATCAGAAATTGTCTTCTTTGCATTGAGGGTCACCTGAAATTAAGCTTACAGTCCCTTTAAATAGATTATAGCCTGCTTCTTTAGCCGGAAAAGTGAATAGTTCTTATATTTTCTCTTTTGTTTCTGTAGCAAAAATACGCAAGTCTCTTCGTAAAGAAACTACTATTGAAAATAATTTCGAATTAAAAAAAATAATTTGATAAAGTAAAAATGAAACAAGTCTCCAGCTTTAGCGTAAATACACAAAGTTTTATATTGAGAAGCAAATATAAAAAATATCTATATTATAATGTTGTAATCTCTGTTTGTTTGGATGTTCGATCATAATTCAGGAACCCCTTGACCGATTTGCCTCAAATTTTGATTAGGGAATTTGGGAGACCCACGGGAATGTTCTAAGCATGGTTTTGAGATTCTAAGTTGAATGGGTAAACTTTTATAGGGAAAAATAGCTAAAATCGTAATTTACGACTAAGTGCGGGTAAACGGTGGAAGTAACTATAATTAGCCTGGGCAACGCTGGGGTTCTCAAGCTAGTTTACAATAAAAAAATGGAGTTCTTTCTACGTAAGTTCATTGGCTTTTTCCTTTTACAACTAGCAAAACAATTTAAAAATGATAAGAACTACTTCTATAATATATATACAGATATAAAAATGTTTTATTTCAATTTTAATAGTTATTTAAGATTAATTGAAAGCTTAACTAAATCCAACATGATTCTTTTTCAAATTCTGTGTTTAATTTAACTTTTAGTAGTTTCAAGATGTCGGAAATTTAAAATTAGTTTGAGAGATAGAGAACAATTTGGTTCTGGGCTCTTCTTCGGTGTATAAATTAAAAAATTTATTTAATTAAGTTAGTTAAAGTATCTTGTCTACACTAATTCAAAACTTTTTCTAAATTATATATTGGTTTTAAAATTTTTAAATAATTATTTTCTGTTATACAAACCGCAAATGTAAATCAAATGTGTCTAAATTGGATGACAAGGAAATAATTTAGATTTAAAAACATTGTTTCTAATTTGCATTAATTTTGAGGGTGGGGAGTATTTTTCTTGATTTTGATTTTAAAAATCATCTGTTTCCATTTGGGTAGTTCCTCCCCTCAGCCCCCCCCCCCCCTACCCCCTTTGAGAAGTTTTTCTACACCCCAACATGCATGCGGTATTATTATTCATATCCCCCCCATTCCACACATTTCCCCCACGTAGAGATTTTTCTGTTATATCACATCATGTTTGCTCGATAATATGTGTAATAGTTTTTTTTTCTAAAACAAAAAATTTCACAAAAAAAATTCTTCGAAAGATTTTCAGTGATATTGTTTTATTATCATCGATGCTAATAACAATGGCAATATTATTGATAATAACAATTTAAAATTGATCATAATAACAACATGTCCATTTATGTTATCACAGCAGTGATAACATAAATATTTGTGATAATTAAAATTTAAAACATTCATTTAGTTTTTTGTTTTTATAAAAGAACAGGAAGTGAGGGGAGAGGGTAAATATCCTGTATTTGTTGCTTACATTTACTTATATAACTATACAAGTATATAGTATATGCACTTTAAATAGAGTTTTTAACTTTTACCAGTGTATCTCCTGACCTGGCTTTGAATAATTAATATATAAACTATAAACATTGAGTTTTCAAAAGCTTAAACTATGCTGCGTGTAGAAGAGACACCTTTCTTATCTCTGGGCATATATTTAAATATAAAACTTATCTTTTTATTACGCTAGCACCCCTCCCCTCTCCATCCCTGGGGCGTAATCCACTCTACAAATTAATGAATAAAGAAAAAACCATAAACATGAGCTTAACAAAAATTACTTCTACGTAACTCACGAAGATGCCTAAAGGAGAATGTTTCTACCTTAAACCTAAATAATTTCTTGGTAGATTTGCAGTTTATCCGCAGAATAAATTTTTTAATTTCGCTGTAGATATTGAGTTTAGCCGTAGCCGCTATCCAATCAAAAGTATTAGCACTAGCGTTAAACCCGAGGAGATAAGACAAGAATATCCAGATATTTTACAATCTTGACTCCAATATTGACAATATTTTCTGTAGACCAAGGTTATAATGCAAGGAAAGTTATTTCAGAGGTGCACGCATCTTTTGTACTGCAGTGTACTGTCTCTGGGCGAAAGTCACAGCCTGACATGGGATCCATCTTTCACATAAAAAATCAATGAAATATTCTGGTCAGAGAAAAATATTATGTGAATTATCAAAATTATCATAATTTAATGCTTTTAACCTCCTCGAATACTGATGCATCGATTCTTGTTTACGAATTCCGCCCAGAGAGAACTGGTTTCAATATGCACGCAAATCGTACACAACTGCAATTAACTTTCCTTGCATTATAATCTTGCTGTTGACAATCCACGTCAAGCTAAAGTAAATTGAACACAAGATTGAAATCTAATATTTTTCAATCATTACTCTTTTTTATTAAAAAGATATTAAAAAGAACATGTTTTGAATTTCTAATACGTAATCGAATTTTTTCGTGAAATCAAAACTCGAGGAGTTATGAGGTCACAAAGTCGTACCAGTGATGTCACGTAAATTTTCCCTTTTCCCTCTGTCTTCAGTTTGCAGTGGATCTATTGATATTTTCTTTATAAACACAATATCTACTTGTTTTTCATTCAAAAATATTTTAAACTAAGAAATAGTGTTTGTACAGCCATATTGCAATCTTTCCAGCAGAAATAGATATATGTAATGTATGCACAAGCTGGGGAATACACCTACCGTTTTGTAAACAATCTATCTGTGGGTTACATATACGATAAACAAAATCAACTCAATGCTTCTCAGGATAGATTATTTACATTCCTCCTTCAGCTGCAGTACAGTTTAAATGTAAACAAAGTTTTTGGTTTAAAGTGACCCTCCATATAAAAGTGGCATGCTTTATTCACAACGGTACCCTTTTAGCCTTCATCTGAACACAAAGATGAATAAAACCGTGTTTTTCTCTTGCGTATTTATACACCCGGGATAAGGAAGGAATTTGTCAGAATTTTACACTTTTCAAGATGGCGGAACGATGCTTAATTGTGCGCATCTAAAGGTTTAAAGTGTGCCATTGTGAATGGGAACTGCAGCTCTATTGGGGGATCACTTTGAATTACGCCGACATTTCCTTTTAATATATTTTTATTTATTTTTTTTAATCGAAATCGCTAAATCTTTTTTATTTTAGTTTCCTGGGTATATCCATAATCGCGGATATATTTATGTGCGCGATTGAGAAGATAACCTCCGCGACTAAGAAGATCAGGATCGCTGGACCCGGGGGAGAAGATGATGATATAATTGAGGTGCCGATCTGGAACGGAACTGTGGCTAACCTTACTCTTATGGCTCTAGGTTAGTTCCTTACCTGTTAAAATATCAACCCGGTTTAGTAAGGTTTAGGGGGAGTCAGAGTTATAATTTGAAAGGAAAAATTGCTTATGAATTTTGAGAACCCGGAAACCTTGCAAGAACCTAAGTTGTAATTGATAAACCTAAAGTTAGATTTGTGATGGTTTAAAGGGACTGTAAACGTGATTTCGAGAGACCCTCTTCAGTACCTTTTATCCTCATTTTCTAGATGAAAATTTTGTCCCGGAAAATCAAATGTGCACTGGCAAGAGGGATGTACACTGTACACTCGAATTTATCTGCATTTAACTTTCAGCTGGAAAAATAAGTTTGTCTCCGTCCTCCTTAATCAGACGAAAGGGTACCTGTGTGAATGGAGTCGGATCACATGAATAGACGTCAATAGTCGCTTTAAGGTTGTAAGTTACAAGGCAACGAATATTCAAAGGTTTAGGATTTCTCTTCCTGGTTCTGAACCCAGGTGTGCCAACTGACAACTTGAATTGCAAATTTGTTGCAATCTTTTGATTCCAGGTTCGGACTAACATTAAAATTTGTTCTTGGAATTATCAGAGTAATTCAAGGCGCAGGACGGATGTTTCAGTTGACTCAATCCGACTTGTTCAAACATTAGTAATTCTTGAATAATCAGTTTTAAAAATTAGGAATTAAAAGCTTAAAAGTTTAGAGTTTTTTTTTCTAAAATAAAACATTTTAAAAATAAAAAATTCAGACTTATTTCCAAGCGGATTTGTAATTTTGTTCTTATCAGTTTACATTAAAGATTGAGAGGTTATTCATTCTTTAAATACACAACAAAAGTTTTTTTTCATGATAAATAATAAACTTTGAAATCTCAGATTACACGTAATAAAATTACGTCATAGATTTTAATACATAGAGAGAAATAAGATAGCTAGATAATCAAGAGAGGAAAGTGGAGATGACAGAAAAAAGGAAAAAGAGAGGAAAGTAGAGATGACAGATAAAAGGAAAAAGAGAGGAAAGTAGAGATGACAGAAAAAAGGAAAAAGATAAAAAATGTTGAGACTATGATTAAATTACGGTGCGAGTAAGAAAACGGAAGAGGATATACAGTAAAGAATGGATGACTTTTATTGGCAAAAAGTACAAATAAATAATTATGTATATGATATCAGGCGGAATACAGAAATGAGTAAGGATGTTGAAAGACTGTAGTACGACTAAGATATAAAGGATTTAAGAATGAAGGATGGAAAGAATATAGATTGGAAAGAGAAGATAAAGAATGGAAAGGATACAAGAGGGAAAAATATAGAACGGAAAAAAATGAAAAAGGAAAAGATCAAGGATTAAGGATTATAAAAATATAGGACGGAAAGGATGCATAGGACGGGGAATAATGTAGGACGGGAAATAATGTAGGACGTAGAGAATATAGGACGGGGAAAGTAAAAGACGGAGAGAATTTAGGACGGGAACGAATGTAGGACGGAGAGATTATAGAACGGGGAAAATAAAAAACGGGAAATAATGTAGGACGGAGAGAATATAGGACGGGGAAAATTAAAGACGGAGAGAATTAAGGACGGAGAGAATTAAGGACTGAGAGAATTTAGGACGGAGAGAATATAGGACGGAGAGAATATAGGACGGAGAGAATTAAGGACGGAGAGAATATAGGGCGGAAAGAATGTTTAGGAAGGGGAGAATATAAACCGAATAGAATTTAGGACTCAAAGAATATAGGACGGAAATAACATATAATATTTGTAGGATCCTCGGCCCCTGAGATCTTGCTGGCGATCATTGGAGTTGTTGGAAACAATTTCGAGGCGGACAAACTTGGACCTGGAACTATAGTCGGCTCAGCCGCTTTCAATCTACTCGCCATCAGCGCTGTCTGCATAGTAGGGATCCCGGACGGAGAAACAAGAAGGTTCGGAGAGTAAATTTAATAAAATTACTCCTGTTAAAGGGACTGTCAATGAAATTTCATCATATATTAAAAAAGTTACATGCGTTGTTAATAACGGTTCTTTTTTTTTATTCTCGTAAATTTGTAAATTTTGTAAGTCACTTTGCTGCATAAATCTGTAAATCATTTGATTATGAAAACAGCAATTAATAAATATCTCCATAATTATTTTTTAAAGGGTATATATATATATATATTTCAGTTTTTAACTTCACATTTTTTATTAAAAAAGAATTATGCTAAACATAATGTTTCACGTCTATCATGACGATCCTCAGTAGTTAAAATTCTTTGAAATATATATACATATACATATATATATATATTGATTTATAGTAAACACTATAAATATATGCTTGTCAAAAAAACACTTGAAATTTACAAATATATACCAAAATATTTATAGTCATTACCATAAATATATGAGATTTTTGTTTTTTGGATCGCACATTAATTGGTTTGGTTTCGCATATATCTATAGTGCATACAATAAATCAATTATATATCTATATATGTAAATATATACTCTTTTAATGAAGGGTCATCTAAGATTGTGTCGACAATCCCTTCAGGAGAAGTACTTGAAACATTTGTGCAATTTCAGAAAATTGCAAAAGTAAATTTATGGAAAGGTTCCAACAAAAGTAATTTTGAAATTTCCACATTTTCTCAAAACTTAGAAAACACAGTCAGACTGCATTCAGAGAAGAAAATATTCTTTTTAACGCACAATACGCATTTTTTAGAATTAAGAACTTCACCGTGTTCTGCGTCACCGCAGTATTCTCCATATTTGCGTACATCTGGCTCCTTATTGTTCTTGTCTATGTATCAGAGGTAGTATTTAATTTTTATCAAGGTTATAATGCAAGGAAAGTTAATTGCGGTCGCGTATACTCTGCGTACACATTGAAACCAGTTCTCTCTGGGCGGACTTTGTAAACAAGAATAGATGCATTAGTGTTCGTTTAGTATCCGAGGAGGTTAAAAGCATCGAATTTTGATAATTTTGAAAATTCACACAATAGTTTCCTATAGCCAGAATATTTCATTGATTTTTTTTTTGTGAAAATGGATTCCCTGTCAGGCTGTGACATCCGTCTTGTGTTTACTTTTCCGCCCAAAGACAGTGAACTGCAGTACAACAAATGCCTACACCTCTGATTAACTTTCCTTGCATTAGTACCTTGATTTATTTTATCATTTGTAAATTGAACAAATTATCATAATCAATTTAAAAAATATAATTATATTGTCATTTTGTTTTTTAATTTTTATTATTATTATTATTATTATTATTATTATAACTAGTTTAATCTATCTATCTATCTATCTATCTATCTCTCTATATATATAGCTATCTATCTATATGTCTATATATTTATCTATCTATCTATCTTTGAAGCCTTTGAAACGACTTGTATCTTAAATACCTAGCGAGTTGCGACTGCCATTTTCTGTTTATTTGAAATGTATTTAAAAGGTTTAATGTTTAATAATAAAGTTGAAAACTATAACAAGGCGTTCAATGAAAATTAAAATAAGCCTATTTACTCAGGATCTTGCCAAATATTCTTTTAGAACTCTAAACAAACACACCACTATGAAAGTTCTGTATATGTATTCAGTCGTACCGTCCAGTCCGGCTACCCATTTTAGACCCATGACGTTTTAAGGAACAAATGCGGCCTGGCAAGATCACAGTGAAACAAACACTTTGCATCCAGCAATGAAATCTTCATATAGAAGGCTTCAAAAAAAGTCGATAAGATTGGTTAGGATAATCAAACCAAAGGCTAGTTAGGCGATCCTTCAAAGTCGGTCCGGTTTCAATACTTGATGCATAGTTTTCAAAGTTGTTTGGATCGGTGTGGATTCTGACACATGTTTATAGGCACGGCTTATATGGATGCACTTGGTTTAATGATTTGTGCGTGGGAGACTCTTACAACCAGCTCATGCATACAATACATACATGCATCAAGCACCATCTATAATATGAAGAACTAGTTAGCAAGGAGAGGCGGAAATATTTCTATTGATAAACAAGATGCATCATTAATGATTTTGTTCTCAAAAATATTCTCCATAAGTTAAAAGATCTGTAAAACATGTTTCTATTCCAAAGTAAAAACAATTGCCTAATTCTGCTTTATTAAAATAATTTTTTGATTTTTGTTTTGAATAGGTTCGTGTTTTTATTTCGCATGTATAAAATTACTTTCTTAGATTATCACACGTTTATAATCTATCTGTAAAGTACATCTTGTATCTGTATCTGTATCTGTATCTTTCTTTACTCTAGAACCTGATCGAGGTCTGGGAGGCCGCCCTTACCTTCCTCTTCTTCCCTATCCTCGTCCTCGTGGCGTATGCGGCGGACAAGGGTTGGTTAAACGTCCTGTTCTGCCAGTCCCCGGCAGCTGCTGCAGATAAACAACGGCAGATTGAACTCGGCAACTTCAGATCCGGTGAGTGTAAGTATATTCATCTTTTTAGGCACCCCTGGTGGACAGTTGGACTAACCCTGGTGGACAGGTGGACTAACCCTGGTAGATAGTTGGACTAACCCTGGTGGACAGTTGGACTAACCCTGGTAGATAGTTGGACTAACCCTGGTGGATAGTTGGACTAACCCTGGTGGATAGTTGGACTAACACTGGTGGATAGTTGGACTAATCCTGGTGGTTGGCTGATTTGACCCTGGTTAGCTGTCCTAACCCTGGTGGATAGTTTTCCTAATCCCGGTGGTTGGCTGGTTAAACCCTGGTGGAAAGTTCACCTAATACTGTAGTTGTTCTAACCCTGGTGGTTAGCTGAGCTTGAGTTTGGATAGATATAGAACTAACAAAAAAATAAAATAAAGGGATTGTTCAGATATTTTGATAAAGTTTAAAGCACTAAATATTAAACAAGGGATTCAAATTATCACTTCTGTATCTGCCTTTAGGTTGGTTTCTTTGTCAATGCCTAAATTCATAATTTTCTCAAAAATTGGTAGCAATCAACATTCTCAAATATCTGAGCAATCCCTTAAAAGAGACTGAACGCAAGTTTTCAAAAATAAGAGCTATAGTTAGATTTTTTTAAAATTTGTATAAAAAGAATTATTACGAGTGTAATTTGAGCGTTGAAAACTTGCATAAACAGACCCAAGTATATTGAAAGAGACTTTTCATATTATTAATACGATACGCAAACTCTGATTTTCTAATCCGTAAATCTTTGCAACCCAGTGTCATAGACCTTATATATTTCAAACTATGAATTCTCTGAGATCAAATAATCAAAGTTTGAAATTTCAAAGGTTTACACCATCAGACTGCAAAGATATAGGGATTAGAAAATTTGAGTCTACGGAGAAGACACAATTCCTTTGTAAGGTAACGTATTACAAATATGAATAAAAGACTTCTTGTTTTAAAACTGGTTTCTGTGCTAATAACATTTTGTTTGACAACTAACATTATCTTACACAAGTTCTGGCAAATTTAACAAATTTAAACAAAATTTTTTTCTGGATCTATTAGCAAAGTAAATTGTTCTGGGGCGTTTACAGGAATTTACCCCCCCCCCCCCCAGGAAATCATATTGTTTTCCTTTTCTATGGAGGCTTAGCCCTATATCACACAGCCTGTGTACGCCCTTGAATAATTATTAACCTTATTTCTCTGTAATGTTTTGTAACGTGCAGTACATTTTACGCATTGTCTTGCTCTTTTACAACTCATATTTGATCTAAACTTGTTCTTTTCCCAGTTTTGGCAAAATATCGCTTTAAAGGGACTGTAAGTGTAATTTTAAGTGACCCTCAATGCTCAGATAGCAATTCCCGATTTACAATCGTTCCTTTGAAACTTTAATCTGACCAAATATGAGAAAGATACAGTCGGTTTACTGACTCGTTAAGTTTTTTTCCTAAAATAATATGGGGGCTGTCAATTAAGTCTCAGGAAAAAAAACATTACTGGAATAAAAGTCCTGAAGAAAATAAATCCGAGGAAAAGCCTAGAAATAAAGTCCTAAGTCTCGGGAAATTTGAACTCAGTAATTTAAGTCTGCAGAAAAAAGTCCTAAAAAAGGTTCTGTATATAATTCCGCGTGCAAGTGTACTATGTAAATGACATCATATACAGGGCTAGTTTCATATTCTTAAATAAAATGCAAAAGGAAATGCTAACTACGCTTGTGATAAATATTTACATATGTAACAAATATATTTTATATTTTTTTGTTTAGAAAATATTTTTCCGAAAAAAAAGCCCTTTTTCCAGTATCTGCATATTATATGTATATGGCTAGTGGTGTTTTAATAACAAGCCGCTGAAAACCAACGATCATTGTAAGGATGTTTACAACTAGGACTTTTTACCATGGCGCATTTTCACTTGTTAAAGGACTTTTTTGTATAAAATCTGGAGCCAGAAAAAAGTCCTAGAAAATAAAGTCTCGAATTGGTAGGATTTTATTTCCAGAGACTTTTTAATAAAAGGACTATTTTTGTGCAAAATTTTAGGACTTTTAACGGAAACTATTTTCCATGAACTTTTTTACCAGTTACCTTGCCGCCTTTGCTTTGAAATTATGCGTACAGTCCTTTCAACTTCGTCAAAAACCAGTTTATCAAACGACAAACATCCTTCCATAAACATCAAAAAACCAGTTTTTCCGCCATTTTCCTAAACCAGTTTAATCCAAACCAGTCCTGATTCTCGTTCAATGCCTAACCTTTACTGCTGACGGGAAAACCCGTTATTAAATATTTACAATACTTTCTCCGTATCACCTCCCCCCTCATTCACTCTACTTTGTACTTTTTTCCACCCGCATACATATAGATTATTTTTATGAAGAATATGTTGTAAAAGCATTGCCTTCCACTGGCGCACCTACTCCTTCCTAAAACTTTGAACGGTTGAGTCCTTGGTTCCTCTTTCCGGTAGCGTCTGATCAAGGTTCAGTAACTACTTTGTGACGATTTAGAACCAATAGAAATTGCAACGGCGATAACATCTATCTATCTGTCAATCTTCCAATCAGTGCTAAACAGTAAACGGAAATATGTACTTTTATATCGGAAACAGGGGGGAGAAAGAAACGTGCAATCTGAGAAAGAAGATCCCCTCCCCCCCCTCACCAAAATTAGTGTTGGTTTTTAATACCAAAATATACAAATATTATATTTAATGTTTTCATACGATTCAATCTTCTTTTTTAACAAAGGCCGCGGCAATAAGTCTCAAGGTAAGCCAGAGCACAAAAACAAACATATTTTTTAAATTTCATATTTTTTTCTCTGAGATTGCATGCTCAGGAAAAAATGTCTATACAATAGTTCTTCACTTGATGTCTCTAGTCATACATTATGAAAAATCACAATTATTAGAAAAAACGTACTTTTTGGCGCAAAAAATTAGATTTTTTGTTTCTTTTTTTTTAGTCACAGTAGATTATTGATAACTATTATAGTCCTTGACAAAGGAACTGATTACTCGCCACAAAATCTATTTTTCTAATCTTTGCAACCTTATGTCGTAAACCTTTCATATTTTACACCATCTGGTTGCAGAGATATAGAGATTAACATATTTGAATTTGTGTTAACCCTATTCCTGCTGGGGGGGGGGTTTTGAAAAATCAAAGGTTTACATCATCAGGTTGCAAAGATATATGTATACTTATAGTTCCTTTTAGTAAATGAATCTATAAGAATTAGATTTCCAAGAATAGGGCTATGTAAGGGGGGGGGGGGAGCGAATATCAGGAAATCTAATAAGTTATAGATCCATTTATGATATTTGTATGTAGATATTTTCTGTAAAATATTAACAAGTGTGTTGAAAATGAATAACATTTGTAAGGAATTTTTGTACATTTTTTATTTGCATTTCGGTAAGATAATACAGTTTAGTAAATAGAAAAATGTTTTAATAAGAATTATCAATTGCTTTAAGTGTAAATCAAATCATTTTTTATAAACTTATAAACTTAGATGTAGAATGTAGAATTCTTCCATTTTTTGTCTGTAGAAAAAATTCGCAACTACTTTTCAAAATTTCACAATTGAATTGTAAACTTTAGTGTACAGTGTACACAAAAGGGTTGCGGATTTTTCTGAATATTTATGGTTGTCGTCTTCCATTTATGTTATGGTATGCCTACTAGTTCCTTTTTTTAGCGGAAGGAATGCTGGAGTCCCAGGACTACTTCCAGGATGGTAAAGTGAACAAGACAGCCCTCGTCTCCTTCATCAGGGAAATCAAGAAGAACACCAAGCTCAGTGATGAGGATGCTGCTGTTATCGCAGCGTCGAAGGTAAATCAATATCATGGGGAATTTAATTAGAAATAAAGGATTCTAACTATTTTGATTTCTATTCGTCCAAAAATTGTAAAATTTCAATCTGAGAGATAAGTTTTTGTTACCCATACCCAAGTGTAACATGTTCAATATTTATTTTAGTTACACTCGATCATCCTTACATGCATACTTACATTTTTCAGAGAACTGAACATTTACACCCTGAACTATACTACATACAGAAAGTGTAAAGCACAACTGCAGAAAGTTTTAAAACTGAATATTTGAGTTTTAATCCACCATTAAAACTCAAACCAAGGATTTCTCAAGAACTTAAAATAATTTTAAAAAAAATATATTTTGCATATAAATAACCTGTAGAGTGGATAATTTCCTTTTTTTGGATAATACATCGTTAAAATCTTGGAAAACTGTTTAGTTTTTGGTTTAAACATTAAAGGTGCAACGTCAAATAAACGCGGGAACTCGACTCTAAGTTTAAAAACAAAAGAATTAAAATCCAGTATATAGTATATTACTTCATTGATTTTTCTAAAACAATTTTTATGGCAAAAATATTAGATTATCAAATGCCAAATGATCAAAAATCTTTAAGTGATCAAAAAAATGTACGCTAAACAGTTAGGACAGCTATTCTTTTTCAATAATATACAATTTTACAATAAAGTTAATTTTAAAGTTTAAGGTATTCTTTATTACATATTTTTATGATAAAACATCTGTAAAATGCAAACTCTCCCTTTCACGCAATCTATTTTTCTTCTTTCTCTTCTCTTCTAGTTTCTAGTCTTCTCTTCTATTTATTTTCTTCTGTTCTCCTTTCTTCTGTTCTTTTTTCTTGTCTTTTCTTGTCTTCTCTTCTATATTCTTCTGTTCTCTTATCTCTTTTCTTCTCTTCTCTTATCTCTTATCGTCTCGTCTTTGTTTACTCTTTGTTGTTGACATTTAACCAATTTTGAGATGAACAATGCCGTACAATCAGTTGTTTTTATTTTTCTCTGATTTGTTTACATTTCTAGCTTGTAGACCTATGGCCAATTTCTTATTTATTTAACCATAGGTACAACTATAGGTTGCATCTATCTATCTACACTGCTCTGGTAAAGCGTAACCATAGTGTGATTATGGTTCTACCTATGGTAGAGCGTCTCTAAGAAATTGGCCACTAATTCGTACTCCATAATTAGGCATTTGATCATTTGGCATTTGATATTCTGATATTTTTGCTATATTTATATATACTTTAATGTATATACACTGGAGTAAAAAAGTAAAAAAGTGGGTATAGCAATGTTTTGCACAAATAGCCAAATAAAATTTAAAATAGATTAAAACGTGACCAAAAAAAATCACATATATTTTGGAAAAAAATTCCGCGATATTAAATATGCCACAGGCTACGAACTAGCCTATTGTAGGTATAAACCCTATCCTTTCAGTTTACATATATATATATTGGTGCGTATAATGTTGAACTTTAATTGTTTAATAACTTTGGTTCTCCTCTTCTTGTATTTATCTTTATAAATCAATAAAATCCAACATGCTATCTTACACCTAATCATCTCCGGTTTCATTAACACATTTCATTTGGTTCAAGAACTGATAAGAAGTATATAACACTATCTCTGAACGTTTATCAATAAAAATTCCACAAATGAAAGCAAAAGAAGCTTTTGCGGAATAAAGATGCAAAATTAATGTGGGTTTGATTCTATAAAGTTTAAAAAATGACAATTAGAAAAATAATTATATTTTTTGTATTATTGCGGCACCTGTGTGTTTAAATTTAACTTTTTAAAAATTGAGTCTTTGCCACAAGCTCTGATTTTCTAATCCCTTTATCTTTCCAATCAAATGTTGTACGAGTAGATCTTAGATATTTAAAACTATGTTGGATCACAAATTTAAAGTGTTTGAGGTTTCAAAGGTTTTCACCAAAAGGTTACACAGATATTGTGATTTGAAAATTTAAGTTTGTGACAAAGACTCAATTTCATTTATATTTATCAAAAGATTTCTATAAAAATAATTAAAAGTCACACAGAGGATACAACTTTTGATCATGGAATATCGCTTAGCACCGGAATCAACATCTAGTGGACACACTTTAAGTCGGGAAATTGTATTGTTCTTTGCACCTTTAAAGGGAGTGTTTGCGAAAAATGAAAGCTGGTATATAGATAGAAGTAAAATTAGTAGCTATCGAAACCAAAGTAGCATATACCACATTTCATTTTTCGCAAACACTCCCTATAAGGTGTTCTGCGTCTAAGGTAAAGCCATCGACGGGAAAAGTAGAATTAAAGATTTAAGTCACAAAAGCACCACCCTTAGTTTAATTTTACGAAAAGGGTCTTATGTAATAATTTTTACATAGGTTGTGGACTCCCAGCCTAAGTCCCGTATCTGGTATAGGATCGGAGCTACCAGGGATATGACGGGAGGACGAAGAATACAACCCGGCTCCAGGATGAGCACTAAGCTGAGAGAAGTAAGTAGATTTAATCCCAGGGAAGAATTCCTTCCCTATGCTTCCTCTTCATTAACCCTATTAGTTTTCTTCTTCTTGTTTATAGTCGGATCATATATAATCATATTTAACAAAACCTAACAAAAACCCTCTGATTTTTTTAATTTAGGATTAAATAAAGTTGTTAGTTCATAACCAAACTAACCATGGAAGGAATTGAGTTTTTGTCACTAACTCAGTTTTTTATCCATAGATTTCTTTACAACCCAATGTTTTGGACCTTTGAAACTATACATTCTGTTGGATTAGATAGTCTAGGTTTGAAATATCAAAGATTTACATCATCAGGTTGCAAAGATATATGGATTCGAAATTTTGAGTTTGTGGTAAAAACTCAATTTAAGGTCCGAGTGAAATGTTATTATCTTTAAATTACTTTGAATTTACATTTAAAAAATTTGAACTTTTTAACCCAACATTCTAGGCTACAGAGAAGATATTTATTCTTTCAAGCTTTACTATCTACTGAGATTATCCTTGACTACGTAGAACCTTTATCTCTTCTACATATATTCTTTCTAGCTTTTCTATCTACTGAGATTATCCTTGACTACGTAGAACCTTTATCTCTTCTACATATATTCTTTCAAGCTTTTCTATCTACTGAGATTATCCTTGACTACGTAGAACCTTTATCTCTTCTANTATATGTATATATATATATATATATATTTCTATATACGAAACGAAAACACTATTCCATTTACCTGAGTCATCAACATAGTTGCCTAAACCTGCGCAGTTTCCTAAAACTCTTAATTTATTAAAATTATCTTAGACCTCAGATTTTTGATATCCTGCGTACCAACTTTTTCTGAATAAACCATATAAAGAATATTCTAAAACTGCGGAGAGACCCTTATATTCCAATATGTAAACTCCTTTGACTATGAAGGCAGTGAATTCACGGTTTGAGATCTTGAAACTGTTTTGCACACTATTCAACTGCACTTGCACACTGTTGCAGAGCAATGCTTGATTCTCTATTCTTTGAAAATGTAAGTTTTGTTTGATTTTAGAAAACTATTTTAATTTTATGCCAGTTTAAGAGGTAGTATTTGTAATTAGTTTAAGAAACTCCAAGTAAAATGGGATTTGATTGTATAATGCACACCTACGTATACAAGCAAACCCTGGATGTGGGGGGGGGGAAGGTTTAGATATTCTTTTTATAAATATTTTGAACTTTTTCTCCGTAACTTTAATTTTATATAAAATATGAAATTGTTAATGTGAAAATATTTTTAATTAAAGTAAAAATCATGGAAGAATACAAAGGGGGATATTTTTTTATTAAAAAGGACTCTTCTAATTTAACCTTCAAAAAATAAAATAAAATGAAAACCCTCAAATCTTATGTTGTTTGACTTTTAACTGAATCCGAGACGAGAAAGGTTTGAACGCTTAATAAAGCTGGATTAACGGGACTATCGGCGGAATTTCAAAATTTCCAGCATAAATCCGAAATCACTTTAATATCACAATTGGAAATTATCATTTTTCAGATAGAAAACAGCATCATTTTTAACCGGAATCGGACAGGCCTGGAGGATCACTTGAAATTTCGACGCCAGTCCCTTTAAGGTTGCTTCTGTACAGTGTACAATTTCGATAAATGATTGTACATTGTAGCTCCCCCCCCCCTTCTAGAAAAATTCCTGTGTACGCCTCTGAATGGAAATCTCCTAATTCTATCGATTTAATTTATGTACACTTAGCACAACCCTTAGTTTGTGTATGTGTTAGGGTAGATATTGTATAGCTTCGTAAACAGAGGGTTGGACAGTTTTACGATACAGATCTTCCACCGAACATGAGCCGGCTTTCAGATCGTCTTTAATCTTTGAAAATGTCTGTATAAAAAAGTGCATGACTCCAAAACTTTCCAAAGTAAGGTCTACTTTTTGGTATCTTAAAAAATTACAAAGAGATTCTTTATATCTCCAGTGAATTTTAAAGGTCAAAAAAGGGTATTTTATCGTTTTTCAAATGGTAATCCTTGTAAAATTCACATAATAGATCTCAAAAAGACGAGATCTATCATTTCCTTTGATAAAATTATCCTGATTAGTGGGGAAGGCTGTATTTCGCGTCAAAATTTAGGTTTTCTCAAGATTATAATGCAAGGAAAGTTAATTGCAGTAGCGTATACTCTGCGTACATATTGAAACCAGTTCTCTCTGGGTGGAATTTGTAAACATGAATAGATGCATCAGTGTTCGTTTAGCATCCGAGGAGGTAAAAAGCATTAGATGTTTTGTAGATATCCAAAAAGAAGTTTTGTAGATATCCAAAAAGAGGTTAAGTTTGTTGGAATTTAAAAATGTTGAATAAGTGCTTCTCGAATGGATTAAATATACGTAAGTTTCGACCTGATTCGATATCGTTCATATGCCGTTAACTGGCATTGTTAGGAATTAACAGTTTTTCAACGGTTTTGGTTTCTTATTTCTAACAAGAGTTTTCTCCAGGGTTTAGGAGGTCTAACCTCTAAACTATCCGAGGATGGTGTTCTCAAGGTAGTAGGATAGATGCATGTCGTCTTCATGTTCTAAACTTCGTTTTTTATTTGTTTTTATGTTCTAGGGATCTACGGACAGATGAGAAAAATTTGAATCCTATTTTTTAATAACAAAAAAAAATAGTTTGTTTTTCTTGATCTAATTTTATTCTTATTTTTCTCATTTTGTTATTGGTTGCACGACATTTTTAATAGTAAAAATTATAAACTTTCAATAAATAGTTTTTTTAGAGTATTTCAGAATACTTAAGTTTTTTGCTTGAATTTTGTATTTGAATCTTTAAAAAATCTAGAATCTTACTTTTTTAGTTTTATTATACCATCGCTTTCTTTGGTCCTTTAGTCATATAATTTCTTATTTTGTTGACATTTTTAGTGAATAAAATCGAAATCAACGATATGTCAACAACAGGCTGAAAGATGAGCATGATCTTTAAGAAATATTATATTTTATTTAATCACTTGTAATGGGTTGCAATTGGAAAAAAAAAATTCTTGAAGAAAAGAGAATTGATTCTCGAAAAGTTTTAAAACATTTCATGAATCTATTCTACAGGGTGTCCCAATAAACATGGGAATTCAGTGACGAATTCGATATCGTCTTTTTAATTGATTCTTTGATTTAGAATAGTGATACCTACTGAGAAAGCTGTAATCTGTAAGAATTTCGTCTGATATGTTCACATTTTGTTTGTTTATGTTTTGACTGCAAACAGTTGTACTTAGTAAAACAAGAAAATTGTCCGTCTTCACTGATCAACTTGCGAGACATTATAGACACATCTTTACAGCCATTTACCCTTTCCATAAATTAAATTGTAGCAGACATAATAATATTAAGGCTTTTGAAATTAGGTATTACAATGCTAATTCATAACAAAGACGATATCCAATTCGTCACTGAATTCCCATGTTTTTTGGGACACCCTGTATGACGCACTGACGCATTTTTATTAAAATATAATTTTGAATTAACTACAACTTTTTTCGATTAAATCCATATACTGAACACCTTACACATTGTATTTAAACATAAAAGATATAGTTTTGTTTTAGGAACTTCTTTAAATATATATTTAATTAAAGTTTAAGCTTTTTAGGTTCATAATTTTAGTTCAAGTTGTACGTTCGAAACTAGCTGATTGAGAATATTTCATAATATAATAATTTATTCAGTTTTATTATGTTTGGTCTTAGGTTTTATTTTTATGTTAAGGTTTAGATATTAAAAACAGTTTATTTGCACTTGCTTTTGTCCGTCATTAGTTTTCCTTCTAAAAAATCTAATATTTTCTCNTAATACTACCCTCCAACATACGATGAGCAAAAGCAAAATGTTTCATTATCATTTTTCTTCACTGGGGTGCGTGCAAGAAATCCGCCAAATGCGGGAGTGTTCACTGTCAGCTGTACAGTACTGTGTGTACTCTAGGTGTACGAGGCGATCAATGAGCATGAGGAACTCCCCAATATCGTTTACCCGGACTCTGACGAAGAGAAGTCTATTGTAGAATTTCATGCATGTAAGTTTAACCATTTTCTTTAATAAGTTTATAAATTCTGATTTTTACAACAGTAAAATTTGTCATCTAAAAAATCATAATTCACGTCGATGATATCAGTCGTACAAGCTTTATGTGGATCTGTGATTTTTTAACCGTCCTGCATAACATAAAACAATTTTTGACATTTTCAGTATTTACAACTAATTTAAAAGAAAGATAAGGGAATTTTTCTTCACCAAGAATAATTAGGCCTACAACATATCTAGAGTGAAGAGCGGAATGAGTGTAGGAAAAATTGGTCAAGGGAACCCGTGGTTAGATAAGATTTAAAATTTCCGAAAATTTATTTTATCGTCTTTTGAGTTAAAAAAACACCAATTTTTTCATAAAAATAAGCGGGTAGTTATTTTACTTAATTCTCTAAATAAAAGTAAAGTAACTGAAGGTCCCAAAGTAGGGAATTACATGGGACGGTAAATGTTGGCCAAAAGGTGGTAAAAAAACCTTTTTGATTTATGTAATAAAATTTTTGTAAATATGTTTGAGGATTATAAGCATTGTACAGGATATCATACTCATAAACAAACAAGCTTAATCATCTTATCAAATTATAGATAAGAGTGAAAAGATAAGAAATATCGATTTTGCAGATGAACAATGACATAATTATGACTTTACGACTTATCACGCTAATAATATATAATAAAACCAAAATCAATAAAAATTTCAGAATTGCTAAGATTATAAGTTCTTAGTTTTTCCTGTCCATCTTTTATCCGGTTCTCCACCTTTTTCATAACAATTTATGGCATTAAAATCATATAAAATTACTTTCTTCCCGCACTTCATTAAATTGCAATTGAAATCTTAAACCCGTTTTCTGATTCGTTAAGCGGGCGCGCTAATTTTGAACCTAAAATCGTTTTTAGAGTAAAATACTGAAATANTATAGCCGGCCAAACGGCTGGACCGATTGGGCTAAATTTTTTGTGGACACTCATAGGTGGCCGGGTGGTGTCATAGGCTAAAAAATTCGAAATTTTTTTCTTTCAATTTTTCTTAACGGGCAACGCCGGGCCCTTCAGCTAGTTTAATATTTTCCAGAAAGGTAATGTAAGTTTTTTCATTTCCTTGATTCAATTTTATAGTTTTGATTGCAATGATTTTACTTGTTATTTTTTCTCATTCTAACCGACCACAAAGAAAAAATAACTATTTAATCATGATTATTCTTGTTGAGTCACTATGGAGGCCGTAGGGCTGGTCACGTTCCAACTTTTTCTAGCCGTTTCGTTAACGGTTACTTCCAAATACTCCCACAACTTCTATTTTTGGAGGTTTTTAATTGTTTTTTTTTCTCTCAAACGCTTTATTTTGTATTTTTTTTGTTATATCTACCTTGTAAATAGTACTTACTAATTCATCCAACAAGCTGTCTTGTGTTATTATAAGAGACAAAATGTTTTTTTTTGTTTTTTGCAGGGTTTAACTTATTCTTGTTAGTTAATGGTTTAAATTCAAAAAATTCCGTAGATAAAAATCAGCGCAAACAACATGTCGATTCAATTAAAAAAGCAGATCGTTGTCGTCACGTCAAACTCAAGAAAATTTCACGTCAGAATGAAATCTTACATGGTTTCCTTTTATTGAAGAGCTATTGGGAAAAACCAAAATGTTTTGAATTTCTTGGATGCATCTTAAAACATTTTCCGCTCTCATATACTTCATACTTATGCGTCAAACCCAAACTAGAGGAGGTACAAGGTCACAAATTTGTAACAGTAAGTCGCATAAATGTGACCTCGTTCTTTTGTTTAGTCAAGTGTATTGATTTAAATTAAATTCTATTCAAATGAAGTAAATATTGTTTAATAAATTTCAGCAGTACATTTTTTGCTTTATGTTAATTATAAATGTGATTATATTATAATAACTCCATAGCCATTAACAAAAAATATTATAATAATGTTAGAATTAAATAACAAAAATGCAATTTTGCGATTATATTTATCTTGGTTTTCCCCACGTGTACTCTTGGGGTTTATTAATAATTTTTTTTCTAAATAATAATAATGATGATCATGATAATGATGATAAACATATTAATAAAAAAGATTGGACCAATCAAAAAAGATTTCCCTGGAACAAATATATCTAGATTTATCTAGTTCTATCTAAATGTCATCTGAAAAAGAAAATACTAAAAAATAATGGACAAAAGTGATTCTCTTCAAAACAGATATGAACAGGGGTGTATATTAGTTGTGAGACTCATATTTTGCCCCCCCCCCCCCCACCCCGTCTTTTTAGAATCACATTTTTTCTCCAAATCCACAGCTTTAAAAACAGCTATATTTTACAGGTTTCGGAAGAAGTTTGCTGCAGCTGCGGGGGGGGGGGGGTGCAGGGGGCAGAGCCCCCCTTGGATTTTTTTTGTATAATGGATTTTTGGATTTTAGTAGTATAATTGAGCGTTTTAGTGCACTAAAAAGTTCAACTTCAAGATCCCCTGATTTTTTAAGCACTTCTGATGCTGTTTTTTTAATTTTGTTTTTTTGTGTGCTTTTTTCCCTTCCCTTCCCCATTTCCCCTTCCCTCTTGCCCCTTTTCCCCTCCCTCTTCCCTTTTCCCCCTCCCTCTTCCCTTTTCCCCCCTTTTCTCTTCCCTTTTCTTTTCCCTTCTCTCTTCCCTTTTCCCTTCCTTTTCCCCTTCCCTTTATCCTTTTTCATTTTTTCTTTATTTTTTCCCAAAACCCAATGAAAGCTCATATTTTTGCCACCCACCCCCGGATAAATTTACAAAAATAAATACAACCCTGGATATGCATCTACAAAATGTCTTGATATTTCTAAAAGATACAGTGTGCGGAAATAAAATAATTGTTCATTCAGGTTGGTTAAGATGCTTACAAATTGGATTATACTGATTTAAAAAGATTTACAGAAAAAAAAATTAAATCAAGAAAACATTTTTTTGGAAACAAAGGACTTAAAAAACAAATATTTCAAATTCATAAATCCTTGCAGACACAGTCTTGGATTTCAACTTTGGAAGTCAGGATTTAAATCGTTTCAAAAGAGTTAAACTCAAACTTTAATCTTTGATCATTGAATGCACCAGGATCCTCGGAAATATAAACATCTCGAGAAACGAGAAAAGTTAATCTTATAAAGGGTTTCAAATTTACGATCCAATAACTCGTATACTTTTCATTTTACACCCAGGACAAAGAAAACTAACTTTTTTGGTTGCAAATAAATATAGTTCCAAACTGTATCATTAATATAAGTTCCAAACTGTATCATTAATATAAATCTACAGGGTGCAAATAAATATAGTTCCAAACTGTATCATTAATATAAATCTACAGGGTGCAAATAAATATAGTTCCAAACTGTATCATTAATATAAATCTACAGGGTGCAAATAAATAGTTCCAAATTGTATTATTAATATAAATCTACAGGGTGCAAAGAAATGTGTTTTATTTTCTCAGTGTAAAATTCACATTTTTACAACTCAAAGGAATTAAGTCTTTGTCACAAACTCTGAATTTCTAAACCTATATCTTTGAAACCCAATGTTATAGACCTTAGATATGTCAAACTATGAATGATATTAGATAAAATAATCCAAATTTGAAATATCAAATGTTTACACCTTCAGGTTACAAAGATATAGGGATTAGAAAATTTGAGTTTGTGCCAAAGACTCAATTCCTTTTCTAATCTCTAAGCAGTGCTTAAGATCCTGATCCGGATCCGCTGTATCTAAAACATTTTGGCTTCCTGGATCCGGATCTGGAAAATATCAACCAAATCCAAAAATGTTGCTCTCAATGAAAATTGTTAACTAATATCGGATTAACAAAAATTTCCAAATCTCTTACTTCACCTAGTTTCAGCAATTTAAAAAACGAAAATAGAAGAAAGTGTTTTAAAATATTTAATTTTCTAAATAAAATCAGTAATTCTTTAAGAATGTTTGTAACCTGGATTCGGATCCGGATCCGCATCAAAATGAAATGGATCCTAAGCACTGCCGATATCTATGTTTTAAACTTGAACTATCCGATGAGAAATTAGTCTACTACTATCAAATAATTAGATACAAAAAAAGAGCTTTACAGTTACAAAATGAACGATTTTAGGGCAACAAAAAAATTTTGAGGCAAAATAAAAGGCCAAGCACAATGGGGCTAAAGGAAATCAAAACTTTGTTGTTGTTCACAATCCAGGTTCCAGGGGCTATTATTTTCTAAAAATTCATTTTTTTTGCGAAACTAAAGGTCTATAAAACCAAATTCTCCTCTGAGGATTTTTGAAATAAATTCATTTTTAGAATTGGTAACGAAATAAGGCATTAATCCTACTGTTGGAGAATTCCAGTATGATATCATTATTCACTTAGACAAATAATTGAAATAAAAAGTCAGGTATTATTATACAATACACAAGATCATGAAATTGTGAGTAAAAATACAGGTTAAATTCTCTCAAAATATAATCATCGTTTTTTTTGTTGATTCGGACCAATTTCCTATATCAAAAATTGCCTTTTTGTCTTAATCTTTTTTTTCTTTTAACGAACTTTACGACAATAACGTTTTTTTATATTAAGGGTAGGATCTGTCAATTCTGACTTGTGAGAAAAACATCATTTCTAAAGATTGTTAATAAATAGCGATGTCAAACGTATTGGGATTTAATAATAAAACGCCATTATAAACATAAATATAAATACAAAGAAAAAGAAAATCGCGATTGAAAGATAAATTATTTATTTTCTGTTGCAATTAAATTGCATTTTTGTTTCAGCTTGGTTGTGATTACAGAAATAATTTTAATTCTAGAGCAATGACTGTTTTGAAGATAAATAGTATTAAATTAGCGGAGTAAACTTAGTAATTTATCCTCTAAATGTGGGACTAAATATACAAACTTTACTCCACAACTAGTTAAAAGCAAATGTTATCTTAAATCTTTAACTGGTCTATAATTTGAAAGATGTCGTTTTCTGGTTTAAAAAGTGTTTAATTTCTTCATTGTTTCTGAAGCAAAAAGATGGCTAATCACTTTTATATAAAAACCACAAATAAAAGTAAACAGTTTTCAAAAACTAAAACATAAATATCTATTTCATAGGTGTTAATCAGACAAGGCAGAGCTTTTAATGGTACTCCACTGTATTTCTGGAGGGTCAGTTGAAACTACGCTTACAGTCCCTTTAACAAGGCTTTTTAATCTCATTTGAAGCGGTAAACTTATAGTCATAATTCTGGTAAGCTTAAGACACTGTTAATTGTTTGTGTTCCTACCCGGAATCTTAAAGTATCATGTTCGTTTTTTACATTTCATCGGATCCTAAAGGAACTTTTTGTACTTTTACCCGGATTCTAAAGGGACTTTTGTACTTTTAACCGGATCCTAAAGGAACTTTTTGTACTTTTAACCGGATCCTAAAGGGACTTTTGTACTTTTAACCGGATCCTAAAGGGACTTTTGTACTTTTAACCGGATCCTAAAGGGACTTTTGTACTTTTAACCAGATCGTAAAGGGACTTTTTGTAATTTTAACTGGATCCTAAAGAGACTTTTGTACTTTTAACCGGATCCTAAGGGGAATTTTTGTATTTCTACCCGGATTCCGAACGTAGCGCTTGTACTACTAACTAACCCAGACCCGGGTAAAAAAGTTAAGGTGCTTTTTCTAGTTTACAACTGCAGTATCAGAGGATCAAATTTACTTCACTATTTTACCAATGAATCCCCGGGTCGTATTGAATTTACTAGTTCACCATTGTATCAAAGGATAGTAAATAATTTACTTGTTTACCATTGTATCAAAGGATAGTAAATACTTTACTAGTTTACCATTGTATCAAAGGATAGTAAATTATTTACTAATTCACCATTGTATCAAAGGATAGTATATAATTTACTATTTTACTATTGAATCAAAGGATGCAAATAATTTGCTAGTTTACCATTGTATCAAAGGATACAATTAATTTACTAGTTTACCATTGTATCAAAGGATATTAAATAATTTACTAGTTTACCATTGAATCAAAGGATACAATTAATTTACTAGTTTACTATTGAATCAAAGGATAGTATATAATTTACTAGTTCACCATTGTATCAAAGGATGCAAATAATTTACTAGTTTACCATTTTATCAAAGGATAGTAAATACTTTACTAGTTTACCATTGTATCAAAGGATAGTAAATAATTTACTAGTTCACCATTGTATCAAAGGATGCAAATAATTTACTAGTTTACCATTGTATCAAAGGATAGTAAATAATTTACTAGTTTACCATTGAATCAAAGGATGCAAATAATTTACTAGTTTACCATTGTATCAAAGGATCTAAGAACTGAGTTTCCACGAATAACAAGAACAACCTTAGAACCAAGAGCTGACAAGATCTAAATAAAATACAAGGATTAGACAATTAAGAAATCTGCCATAATTTACTGCAACCCGTCGTAAAATACAAGTTTTTAGGACATCTTTATCAAGATGAAAGTTGTAGAGAAATGTTGTGCAAATCAATTACAATTATTTTGAGAATGAACTAAACATACGTCAAAAAATTGTGAATAATGATAAAAATATAAGAGATCGCGGCTAATTTTAAGTGAACCTCCATGCAAAGATGCCCAATTCACAACGGTACCCTTAAAAAATATGCCTGAGTATGAATTTGAATTCAATGTTTGTTTATTAGAAAACGGATTATTTTTAATTGTGATTACTGCAGACAGAAAAAGGAATTATGAGAATTAAAAACTTTTAAACCTGGAAAAATGACAATATCTTCCACATTACTGATCAAATAGAGGTTATCGGGCATTACCATATTTGCATGGAAGATCACTTGAAATCACGCTTACAGTCCCTTTTCAAACCCAGATGTTGAAGCAAGTTCCATAAAATCTGTTTAATAATCTTTTTTTTTTAAATATGTGATTCTATATATGCGTTGCAAAGTTTATACCGAAAAAATACAGAAAATGTCATCATTTTACGATTTCCTAGCAATTTTCAAATTTGTAATGTAAGTTTATTTTTGCCTAGCTAGGAATAGGAACAATAATCTAAAAACAAAGAATTTACAACAAACATGAAACGTTTCCCATGTCCCAAACAAATGTGAAACTGTTCGACAGATCAAATATTTTGTACAATCTTGAACCTGAGCCATCTCCACAGCAATATATCCTGCTCCAACGACAACAACCTTCTCAGGTCTCTCTTGGAGACTGAAGAAACCATCACTAGTAATCCCAAGCTCAGAACCTGAACAGAATATAGTTTGATAATATGCACCCGGGCATAACGCCCATCATTTCCTACCTGGAATACCACTAGGGATGATTGGTCTGCCACCAACAGCAACAAGTATATGATCTCCACTGTAGATCTCTCCATCAACAACAACCTAGAGTTTAGACAATAACCGGCCGTGCCGAGGAATTTCTTTAGATCACAGTACGCACACAGATTCAACTTAATGCCCCGTCATATTTTACGCGGAAATTAAACTTAACTTCAGAGTTTATTTTATTAATAAATTGCTAGGCATTTACCACATTAAAATTGTCTAAAAAGAACCTTATTGGAGCTGATGAATTTAGCCATTCCATGTATGTGCGTCACTTTAGAGTTCTCTAGATTAGTTGCGTATATTCCGTTCAGACGTTTCACGTACGCATCCCTCTTCTCTACCAACATTTTCCAGTCCACGTGTCCTGGAGTAAAAAGAAAGAGTCTGACTTAATATTAAATAAATAAAGTTTTGTTTCAGAAACTTTGCTGTCTCTTCACGTTTGCACCCCTTAAAGGACAACTATTAAACAGTTGAACATCAAATCTGAAATCATCGAAAAAAGAAAAAAATAACAATAAAGTTTTAAAACTAGAAAACTAAAAAACTAGAAATCCACAAAACCAAAAAACTAGGAATAGAATAATTAAAATCCAGAAAACTATAGAAAACTTTTGAGGATACAAAACTGATTTTAAACGTAAGAAAATTTGTCAAACACTTTTCATATCAAAATCCTTGATGAAATTTTCATGGCTACTTCAAATTCATATTAAAAAGTAGATATTCAAATAACATACGCCTTGTATGAGTATCTTAGTGTTGTTAAATTATTTATCCTCATACTGCTGACGTGTTATCAATATTTGTTCATGTTCTTCAGCCTGTGTTAGCATTATAATGTTAAATGTGTAAGAAGCTTACTGCTCTCTGCAGTATAATGTAGTATTGATACATGAGGTAAATATTGAATATTATTGTCAACCATTAACATTAAGACCCCCCCCCCCCACAGTTCATGTAATATCGTCTTCAACTTAAATGCTCCTCTCGGAGTCAAGAATCCAAACCAAACAATTTCAGCCCGCCTTTCTTCCTTGTTCTCCGATGACGGAGTTAAAACGTTTATCAATAGTGAACCATTTCAAAGTTAAACAAAAACATTTCTATTTAAAGAATTAGTGACTTTCATCAACATTTAATTGTCAATCTTTCAGAAGTTTTAATGTATAAAAAGCGTCTTCGGACTTTTCGACAGATAGTCTCACGAATAGGAAAATAGATCGTAAGAATCTTTTCATTATAAATTTGTAAACCCTGTAATAATTATTTATCATTATTCATTTCGTTATTTTTTTAGGAAATAAAGAGTTTTCTGCATTATCGATTTTGATTCGTGGATTATACCTTGTCTATCTGTTCATCGTCAGAATCTTGTTCCTTTGCGACAACAATTATATATTTCAACCACACACTCTTGAATATAAATAAGAAAACCAAAATCTAATAAACAAACTGGAAAATAAGAGAAAATATACAAAAACTGAAAGAAAAAAATATTTTGATTAAATTTTTTATTTTGTTTCAATGTGTAATGTGATTCTTTCCAATTTCTAATTTTGTAGTTATTTGAAATCATTATTCCTAAATTTATAATTTCACTTACATAAGATTGAAAAATAATATATTTACCAAGGGTTGCATTTAAACCATAATGCCCAGCATCATGCTTTATTTCTTCAGCTAGATTAGCGGCAGCATACATTACCTAACAAAACCTAATTAAACCTAATCAAACCTGATCAAACCTGATCAAATCTAATCGAACCTAATCGAACCTAACCAAACCTAATAAACCTAACAAAACCTAAACAAATCTAACCAAACCTAACCAAACCTAACCAAACCTAACCAAAAGTAACCAAAACTAACCAAAACTAACCAAACCTAATCATACCTAATCATGCCTAATTAAGCCTACTTAAACCTAATCAAACCTAATCAAACCTAATCAAACCTAATCATACCTACTTAAGCCTACTTAAACCTAATCAAACCTAATCAAACCTAATCAAACCAAATTAAACCAAATTAAACCTAATTAAACCTAATCAAACTTAATTAAACCTAACTAAACCTAATCAAACCTAACCAAACCTAACAAAAACCTAAACATACCTACTTAAGCTAAATAAACCTAATCAAACCTAATCAAACCTAATCAAACCTAATCAAACAAACCTAGTCGAACCTAATAATGCCTATTAAAACCAAATTAAACCTAATTAAACCTAAACAAACCTAATTAAACCTAATCAAAACTAATAAACCTAATAAAACCTAATTAAACCTAATCAAAACTAATAAAACCTAATTAAACCTAATTAAACCTAATAAAACCTAATTAAACCTCATAAAACCAAATCAAACCTAATCAAACCTAAATACAACTATGTAGTGAAACCTAATTAAACGTAACTACACCAAATAAAACTTAAAAATAATTATTGATTAAACCTTATAAAACCTATTAGCAGGTAGCAATGTCATATAATGCCGCAATCACCCTTGCTTAAAGTACACTGTACACTGTACAATGTACTGTGGTGTAAATATTAATTTTTGTGAAAAGGAAAATAGAATTATGATGAATGCATTCAGTCAATACTATTCTTATTCAACACACAAAGTAAGTACTTTAGCATGTCTGGTACAGAAGTCGGGTTCTATAATCTATAGTGTGTCTAGTATAGAAGTCTGGTTCTCAAGTTTGTCTGGTACAGAAGTCTGGTTCTAAAGTGTATCTGGTACAGAAGTCTGGTTCTATACTCTATAGTGTGTGTGGTACAGAAGTTTGGTTCTATAGTTTGTCTGGTGCCGAAGTCTGGTTCTATAGTGTGTCTAGAATATAAGTGTGTCTGGTATACAAATCTGGTTCTGAAGTGCGTCTGGTATAGAAGTCTGTTCTAGAGTTTGGTCAATAATGAATTTTGAAATCTTTAGAAATGTAAGAAAAATCTTGTGATATTCCAGAAAAATATGGTCACTGATTGTGTTGAGCTAAGATTGCTAATCTATTGAAAGCTATTTTAAGGACTGGGACAGAGACAACAGAGAGAGAGCCAGCCAACCCAGATGTTGTCCTAGTGTTCATATTTGTATAAGATGTGATCTATTCTTTACATTAGAATTATTATCTGAGCAGTTTATGTTTCAGATATTATACAATGAGTGTCGACTCCATTGATTATATATAAATTACCAAAAGAACCACCAGGAAAGCATCCATTTATGTTTATTAAGTTCTTTGTTGATATTCAGATTGATCTGGAATAAGTATTGTATATTGAGATTAATAGATGCTTGTATCAGATTTTCAATCTGTACAAGACCTGCCTCATCAGGAACAAGATCTTATGTGTTATCTGTTGCAGATAAAATACAGGAGGTCTCAGATTAGAACCAGACGTTCTGTAAGTGTGGAGAATAGGGGCGTGGCCGATATGCCTCGATCGGACGAATCTCTAAGGTTCGTAGATTAACAGATTGACATCAATAAGCATGTTGATTGCAAAAAACATTTGTTAAATTGGTTTGGCGAACAAATAAACCTTTATTATTATACTTTATTATATCTACCTTTTTAGGAACACAGCCGACATTTACACAAGTTCCTCCCAACCTTCCTCCTTCAATTACTGCTACCTATAAAACATAATAATACCTTATACATATATACGAAATACCTTAAACGAACATAGCACCTTGTACATACAGAACACCTTATACGTACATACATATTACATACAGAATACAACATACATGCATACATAATACTTTATACATATAAACAGAATACCTTATACATATATACAGATACACTTTATAGAATACAGTATAGTGAATACACTATACATTATACAGAATACCATATACATACATACATAATACTTAATACATATATACAGATACACGTTATAGAATACAGTATAGTGAATACACTATACATTATCCAGAATACCATATACATACATACATAATACTTTATACATACATGTATATAAAATACTTTATACATACATGTATATAAAATACTTTATACATACATGCATATAAAATACTTTATACATACATGTATATAAAATACTTTATACATATAAACAAAATACCTTATACATAGATACAGTATAGTGAATACACTATACATTATACAAAATACCATATACATTATACATACATGTATATAAAATACTTTATACATATAAACAAAATACCTTATACATAGATACAGTATAGTGAATGCACTATCCATTATATAGTTAACTGCATAAACATTAATTATTAACGTACAATTTATTAATTATATATTATACAGGTCGTTGTACTTTGTCTATACATTGATTGCTAATAATAACAATACAGAATAATTAGAACTGAGATTGCTGAACTATCACCTTTATTTTACACATTTATAAATTTAAATCTCTATTCAATACTTTATTACAACAAGAATATAATACTAATTGATATTCCCTACACATCTATTGTAGTTTTTAAAACTTTACAAACTTTAAACTTTCACAATTCATCAAAATTGGTGAAACTTAAAAAAAGTTTCAGAAAAGAAGATTTTTAGACAAAACCTCTAAATAACATTAATAGAAAAATCAAATTAAGTTGATTTTATTTGAGTTGAGTTGACTAAAATTAAGTTGATTTGAGTTGAGTTGACTCAAATTAAGTTGATTTTACTTGAGTTGACTCAAATTAAGTTGATTTTACTTGAGGTAAATTGACTCAAATTAATTTAAGTCAAGTTGGCAATATAGTTTGAGTAGAAGTAAATATTTCCATTTACTGATAGCACCAATTGAAGGATTCATAACTATAATTTGATAATGAGATAGATAGAAAGATAGATGTTACCGCCATTCTATTTCTATTGGTTCAGAATAGACAATTACTGAACCCTGGTTGGATCAGGCGCTAATCGACTCGGCGTACAGGAGTGTTGAGTTGAGTTGACTCAAATTAAGTTGATTTGAGTTATCTCAAAGTAAGTTTATTTGAGTTGAGTTGACTCAAATTAAATTGATTTTATTTAAGTTGAGTTGACTCAAATTAAGTTGAATTGAGTTGAGTTGACTCAAATTAAATTAAGTTTAGTTGAGTTAATCGAGATGACTCCAATTAAGTTGAGTTGAGTTGACTCAAATTAAGTTGAGTTGAGTCGACTCAAATTAAGTTGAGTTGAGTTGACTCAAATTAAGTTGAGTTGAGTTGACTCAAATTAAGTTGATTCAAATTAATTTGACTCGAATAAGGTAGAGTTGAGTTTAGTTGAGTTGACTCAAATTAAGTTGAGTTGAGTGGACTCAAATTAAGTTGAGTTGAGTTGAGTTGGCTCAAATCAAGCTGACTCAAATTAAGTTGACTTTAGTTGACTTGAGTTGACTTGAGTTGACTTGAGTTGACTTGAGTTGACTTGAGTTGACTTGAGTTGACTTGAGTTGACTTGAGTTGACTTCGGAAAATGGAAAAGAATTTTATGTAAATTCTAGATGTAAAGTTAGAAAGCATGATTTACATACACTTCTATACCCATACCATTATTCTTCTTAATGTTTATATTTCTCATATATACTAAAAATATATACTGTATATATACTGGATATATATACTGAATATATACTGAATATATACTGGATATATACTGGATATATATACTGGATATATATACTGGATATATACTTACTGGATATATACTAAATATATAAACTGGATATATACTGGATATATATACTGAATATATGATCGATATATACTTTGATATATATATACTGGATATGTATACTGGATATATTTAATATATATAAATATATATATATATACTGAGCTGAAAACTTTCGAATGGTGGATATCAAGATTAATACTTAGTACTGGTTTTACTAAACCCAAGATTATTTAAAAACACATTCGATATCCTAGAAAGAAGTTAAAAATTCAATCAATCAGCGTGTCATGTTAAATTTTAAATTTTGAAAAACCGGTTTTGATTTCTGGTGTTGATGGTGTCATATCAATTGAACTAAACATCGATTGAACGAACATAAGTTTTGGATTAATGTTTATTAAGACTAACGTTCAAAATGACAATTACCCTAAAAGATGTTTTTTATTAATTTTATATTAACATGATCAAATTTATGTTTGTTTAAATGCTCTAAAAGATGGCTTGTGAACAGCTGTCTTTAATTCAGATATTAGTTCAATCTATATAGCATTATATCTGTAATTGTTATCAAACGTAACTATTATACAGTAGAAATATCCAAAAAGAGGATTATAAGAAGAAAATGAAGTGTGTACATTGGATAATCAGATTAAGCGATCGTGATTAAGGATATCTCATTCTAAAGTTTTCAGCAATGGATATATACAGAGCTGAAAACTTTAGAATGGTGGATATCGAGATTAATGCTTGATCTCCTGTTCTTCTTAATCTCCAGATTAAATAATGCTTGTTCACCTCTTGTTTTTAATCTCCAGATTAATTAACCGATCGGGATTAAGGATATCCCAATCTAAAGTTTTCAGCTCTGGATATATACTGAAATATACCGGATATATATTCTGAGCTGTAAACTTTAGAATATTGGATATCAGGATTAATGCTTGATCCACTCTTTTTCTTAATCTCTAGATTAAATATTGCTTGTTCTCCTCATGAATTTAATCTCCAGATTAATTAACAGATCAGGATTAAGGATATCACATTCTAAAGTTTTCAGCACTGGATATATACTGGATATAAACTGAGCTGAAAACTTTAGAATGTGATATCCTTAATCTTGCTCTCTTAATTAATCTGAAGATTAAAAATGAGAGGAGAACAAGTCATATTTAATCTGGATATTAAGAAAAAGAGTGGATTAAGCCTTAATCCCGATATCCACCATTCTAAAGTTTTCAGCTCACGATATATATATATATATATATTGGATATATATACTGGATATATATGCTGGATATATATATATTGGATACTTATACTGTATTTATATACTGGATAAATATAATAGAATAGAATTTCCTTAAACCTGATATTTTAATTAATCCGGAGATTAATGACATGAGGAGAACAATATTTAATCTGGAGATTAAGAAAAAGAGGAGATCAAGCATTGATTTCGATATCCCCGTTCTAAAGTTTTCAGCTCTGGACATATAAAATGGACATATATACTGGGTATATCTATTGGATATATATACTGAACTGAAAACTTTAGAATGGTGGATATCGAAATTTATGCTTGATCTCCTCTTTTTCTTAATCTCCAGATTAAATATTGCTTGTTTTCCTCATGTTATTAATCTCCAGAGCTGAAAACTTTAGAATGGTGGATATCAGGATTAATGCTTAATCCACTCTTTTTCTTAATCTCCAGATTAAATATTGCTTGTTCTCCTTACGTTATTAATCTCCAGAGCTGAAAACTTTAGAATGGTGGATATCAGGATTAACGCTTAATCCACTCTTTTTCTTAATATCCATATTAAATATTGCTTGTTTTCCTCATGAATTTAATCTCCAGATAAGTCAACAGATCGGGATTAAGGATATCCCATTCTAAAGTTTTCAGCACTGGATAAATACTGGATATTTACCGGATATATACTGGATGTATATACTGGATGTATATACCGGATATATGTATATACCGGATAAATACTGAATATATATACTATAAAAAGACAAGTAGGTTAACATATTATAATCTATCTAAGGAACATAAGGAAAAGGAATCTACATAAGAAGTGGACCTCACAGATTGCGTTCATCCTTGTATGCATTATTTTGATGATCACACTCAATATTACACAGGAGACTGTCAGAGGACGCTTTATTGATACTTGAAGGAAGGGGGACTTCTTGTCAATCAATATATGTATTCCTAATATATGTATTCCTAATATATGTATTCCTAATATAGTATTCCTAATATATGTATTCCTAATGTATGAATTCCTAATATGTATTCCTAATATATGTATTTCTAATATATGTATTCCTAATATATGTATTCCTAATATGTGTATTCCTAAAATATGTATTCCTAATATATTTATCCCTAATATATGTATCCCTAAAATATGTATTCCTAAAATATGTATTCCTAATATATGTATTCCTAATATGTATTCCTAATATATGTATTCCTAATATATGTATTCCTAATATATGTGTCCCTAAAATATGTATTCCTAATAAATGAATTCCTAATATATGTATCCCTAAAATATGTATTCCTAAAATATGTATCCCTAAAATATGAATTCCTAATATGTTTTCCTAATATATGTATTCCTAATATATGAATTCCTAATATGTATTCCTAAAATATGTTTTCCTAATATATGTATTCCTAATATATGAATTCCTAATATGGTTTCCTAATATATGTATTCCTAATATATGAATTCCTAATATGTTTTCCTAATATATGTATTCCTAATATATGTAGGAAAGTCTTAAGCAATATTTTATGAAAACCGTATGGTTGAAAAGCAGAACACAGGTACTGTTCACCTTGACATTGTACTCTGCAGCTCTCCTGGCACTAGCAATACCTCCTGATCCACCTCCTATCACCTTAATATCGAGATTTGTAATTTTAAAATAATAATAATAATATCGATCGGGCCAAGTAAGGTTTCTGGACGTGAGACTTTGAGAAATAAAAAAAATATTAACCTTAACAGAAAAATCCGAGAAAATTTGATAACGTTTACAATGGCAATTTTCAGAAAAAGAATTGAAAAAAGGAAAGAGATATTCTACTCTTCGAAGCAATAGCCATTGTATTTATGTATATAATATACATTGTAACCAGTAATAATAAAACAGTTTGTTTGCAATAGTAAAAGAATATTAACAGGGATAAACCCTGTATGTGCAGTGAACACTTCTTTATAACTCTAATTGTGAACTTTGATAGATGAAAGCTGAACTATAGTACGAGGGATATTCTAACTCCCCCCCCCCCCCTAAACAAATTTAAATAAAAAATTTGACAAACAGGGAAGAGATTAGTCATAATTGGAATCTACAATCTACATGGAAAATATTTAGAACCAAATGCAACCTATACAAAATTTGGTGTCACTAAGTGTCAAATGTGAATAAGGGTAAGTGAAAAAACCGGGGCAACAAACTGATTTGTCTAACAATCAAAATTTCTAATCTCGTTTTGCAAATGTAACAATGATTTAGCTAAAACATGAAATATTATAGGTCTACGACATCAGGCCCAATGTGGAAAGATATAAGGATTAGAAAATTAGAGTTTGAAGGAAAACAATTGGCCAAGTTTGACCCTTTTACCAGTTGGAGTAATTAATTAGTTTTCCTCAAACTTATTTGAAAATCAAAAATCTTGTGGTAAAGGGGGGGGGAGGGTATTGAAGTTCAGCGCCCCCCCCCCATCAGTAAAATCTAGTTTTCACGCAGAGGGTTGGAAAAAACCCGGGTTAAAAAAACTAGCCCAGTGGGGTTTATTGTTTTTTTTTGTTTTATTGGGTATTTTTGGGCTTTTTTGGGTTTATCAATTTGAAACCTACTTAAATTCATTCTGAATCATAAGAATAAGACTGTTTTAGCAATAGGTGAACTTTATAGTTATGAAAAAAAATAAGATTGTTGTGATAATATAGGTCTTTTTTGGGGATATACTGCAATTTTTTGATAAAATAGTTCTATGAATTTCAGACTACTTCTATTTTCACACTTGGATACATATTTCTGATTGGGGGTGGGTCTACTCAGATTAATTGGTAGATTATATGCCCAAAAAGGAACCCACCCCGAAAAACTTCAAATCACTCTCACATAAGAATGACAATATTTTGTAAACTTATGAGAAAAGAATAAATATGTCAGTTTTAGTGTGGTCTCCGTAAAAAGCAATACAGTTGATAGTAAACCTAATTTTTTGAAGAATTTATACTTATTAGAGTGAAAAAGGTCAATTATTAGAAAAATTCTAAAAAACCTAATAAACCCCAAAAAATCCCACTTACAGGTGGGTCTTTTAAAGTGGGTTTATTCAGCTGGGTTTTTTTTGCTGGTTTTTCCACGGGGTTTTTCTGTCACAAAGGGTGCTAAGCCACCCCCCCCTCTCCCTAGAAATAAAACAAACTAAATTTATTTTTGTTCAGAGAACTGTAAAACTAATAAAGCTTACTTAAGTTTACATTAATTATAATTTTGGAAAAATTGACATAAAACAGCCTTTAACAAACACTCTTATCGTGTTATTAAAAAAACATTGTTTTTACACAATTGCAGAATGTGCAAAAACATGCATGAAAGAAAAAATTAAAATATTTCAATGAATATTTGTTATTTGGACATTTGGACATTTAAAGATAAAAATAAAAAAATAAAATTTCTTTTAATAATACCTGTGTTGAAAAAAAACTTTAGAATATAATACGGTATTACTTACCAAATACTGAAAATGTTTCGCAGCTGGAATTGGTGGCATTTTCAAATTCCTGAAAAAATTCCCGCATTATCATTTGCTATAATTAGCGCATTTCCACATATCTTCAACATCAATATTTTCGTTTATGTAATTTTTTAACGCAATATTATTTAAACATACAGGGTTACCCGTAAAATTTGAGACTTTTATGTCTAATGACGACTTTAAGTCTGAAATTTAGTCACCTAAAGGTCTGTTGAATGATTTGAAAAAATGACAAAACCCATCTGTAACGTACTTTAAAAAATAATTCAGCACAGTCGTCTTTGAAGTCTCATCCTTTTTCGGGTAACCCTGTACGTACACTGTACAGTGTTAAAATTGCGTATTGTCTATCTTGACAATAAAAAATTATGTTGTTTAAATTTATCGTAAATCTAGAAGAAGAAGAAAAGTTTCAGACGTTTTATGATGGCAAATTCAAGAATTTGTCCAGAGCGGGGGGGGAGCTTGTGCTTATTTTACATTATTCATTTTTTCTGCATTTTTATTGATTTCTCATAAAAAATCATTAAAAATTTGTTTTTTACAATATTCTTAAAATAATTACAAAAACTTAGAAAAAATACAAATTATTTTTAAGTGAAAAAAATTGTAAATATCATTATTATAGATTTATAGATTTTTAATAATTTTGATATTTTGATTCTTAAAGATATCTACAAGGGCGTATACAGGGGGTGCAGTAGTCCCTAGTAAAAAGATTTATATCGCTATCTTTAATGGTTAGGGCGCAAAGGAGGATTTAGAAAAAGTTCAAAAAGTACATCTGAAAAATGTTCAAAAATAAATATTTTTACTTTTGACATTAACATGTGACACATTCATATTTAAGGGCTTTTCAAATATATAAGTGTTAGCCCTGTGGCTAACTTAATAAAAAATATTAATCATTTATGATTTTTTTGAAACACCGACCCGCTGTTTGACTATCCTCCACCCTACCATATGCATGAAATATTTTATTTTACAAAATTTGTTACAACTATGAACTTATGAAGTTAAAAAGTTTCATATTCAAAAATTTCTTTTACTATCTCTAGTATTAATACTAACAGAACATATAATAAAGTGTAGATTTTTTAAAAAACATGTTTTTTCTACTAGTTTTCTTTGAAGGAGAGATAATGTAGTATTTGCAAGGTAATTGAATTTTATGTTTACCTTTAAAGTATCTTAAACTTATGCCTGTTATCCGTCAAATGTTTTGAATTTACAGCTCAAAGGAATTGAGTTTTTTTTCCACAAACTCAAATCTTCTTATCCCAATATCTCTGCAACCTGATGCTGCAAACCTTTGATATTTCAAACTTAGATTACTTTATCTATAAGTATTAATTGTTTGAAATATCTAAGGTCTACAACATTGGTATACAAAGATATAGAGATTTGAAAATCAGAGTTTGAGGCAAAAACTCAATTCCTTTGGCCTCCCCCTAAGAGCTCCTAGGGGGGGGGGGGGTATTTAACATATACTTTTCCCCCATATGCGCTCTTGGATATCTAACAATTAACTTGTAGGTGAAAAATCAATAAAGAAAACAAATCTTACCATATTAAACTTGTTAGTGTAAAACAAGTTAAATAAATTGATTCTAAATCGTACTCGGATAACGATTAGAGATAACTGAATGCGGTGTCACAAATCAACTAAAAGTGTATTCGTGAGATAGTGAAAAGAAAAAATTGAATGAAAAACGCTGAAAAGTTTTAATTGTTTGCGAAGAATCAAACAAAAACGTAATTTGATATTATGAACAGTCCAACATGGATCCTGAAATTCTCTGCCTGTGCTGCAAAAGCGGAGATCCCCCCAGGGATAATCAAGAATTTCCTCAGGGGCGTTGTCAGAATATTTTCCACTGTGTTTCTTTCTAGGGGGGCCCAAAAAAGCCCTGAAAAACATAGATTTCATTAATCCATGAGGGGGGGGGACTGAACCCCCATACCCCCACTTGAATACTACTTATATATATTCATATGTTACCTATCGCAGGCTAAACGACTTCACCATAAGCTGAATTTTTTTAGGAACCCCACGGGTATCCCGGGGTTGACAAAGGTAAGAACCTTTGTCAACCCCGGGCACATCTATAAAATGGTTCATCCCATACCCCCTTTCATTTTTAAGAACACTCCCTTCCAAAAATATTTTATTTTTAATTTATATAAGTGTGAATTAAAATATAAATTCAAATTGTTTTTTTTTGCGAACAGAAGAGTTTAACAGAAAATACTCTCGTTTGATCTTTTTTGAACCGTGGAAGGTGTTATTTACAAGCCTTGAACTTGAACATTTATATGAACAATGGGAAAACAAGAGTTAGAGGTTTAAAAGTTTAGGAAAACCTGGTTTCAAAACTTCAACTGTTTACATTTTACAGGTTTAATTTGTAAGACATTCAAAAATAAATAATAAATGAATAACAAAAACAAAAAATTTTAGAAAATGGACGTTTTCTGACCGACCAAATTTGAAATTCTGAGATAATACTCTGAAAAACTATAAAATTCTTCCCCCTCCCCTATTCAAAATCCACGGTTATGCCTGAGATCTGTGTTTTCTTAACTCAGGATAAATTGTTTCAAAGAAGAAAAGATTTTACATTTTCGTTTCTTAGAAATAATATAAGTTGTTCTTAAGTCTGGGAAGATATCATTATCATCAAAGTACTAAAGGAGACCCCTTTTCACTGAAGACCATAGGATTTTATTCTCCGCTGGAATAGAAAATGGTCTCCAGAGATAATACGAGAGTCTCCAATGAAAAGTTCGGGGTCCCCGATGAAAAGAGGTCTTTTCTAACATCATTTTTAAAATCATCAAAATTCTTTCGACGATTCAAAAGTTTTTAAAGTATATTTTGAAAATGTAAACGGAATATTGATTGTTTTTTTTTAATGGTGGATACTAGCACTGCATGGATATATTTAAAAGTCTCAATGTTTTATCAATAAATATTAGAATAGGTTGATAATGTTGAAAAGAGATTGATTGTTATAATTGTTATAATCTTAATGGTTTACGTTTAAAAGAGAGTGTTTTTAAATGAGTAATAAACTAGGTTCATGTAAAACGAGATGTTAAAAGATCCATCAAAAGGCAGTAACTATCTTGATTATATTTTGTGGAATATAGTATACAATATGCAGTACGCCGACTTAAGGAACTAAGAGATAAGAGAGTACAGAGATCTACTAAAGGCAAGAGTTGGTGGAATTTTCTTCCACGCGTTCTATTGTGTACAACTGGAGTACACGACCAATTAGCAGACATCTACCCTCAGGAATATTTAAGGGTCCTTTGGATAAAATAAACAAAACCTTCAAAAATATATTAAATTCAGAAGTGCTATGTTTAACATTAAAAGTTAAATCATATCTTAAAAATTTGTAAAACTTAAGCCCTAAATGGGTATTATATACAACAAGACGCGGCTAGATGGCAGTCACAAAACTGAAGAAATATAGCATGCCGTGACGGTAGTGGTACGACTATAGGCCTACTTAGACCAGTTGTGAAAGCTGATTAGCAGTAAATATCTAGTCTGTGGAACTAACTCAAGTATTTTTTGTCCAGTTTAGGTGAGTGCGAAACTTTTGTGCGGATATTGTTAATCTTGAACACTTGACCTCGATATCGCAAAGGGGCACTTTTTAATTTGAGAATCAATGCTTGGTTTCTCAATTGAAGTTATCCTTGCTGGGTATGATTGTTGAGGGATATCGAAAAGGAATCAATTTAATCTGTAGATTAATGATTGATCCCAAGATTCAGAAAATGCCCTTCTTTTGACGAGTTTTGGCCCTACTGGAACCCTGAATTCAAGAAAACAAATTTCATACAATCGTCTCTCTGGTATCCTTTCTAGGTAATTTTGTATATTTATCTTAAACTGTTTAAATTGTTAACTGGCATGGAGAAGATGATTATAGTAAACCTAACCCTTAAATTGTACAGATTTAAGACACCAGTCACAAGGTGTGAAGAAATAAACGTTTATCAATCAATCAATCAATCAAATTGTACACAGTAAATATTTTTTTGGTTAAAAATAGTTTCAATTTTGGCCATGTACTAACTTGATAGGAAAGGGGCTGGTGGATCCAAAAATCGTTCCGGGGGGGGGGGCAAAAAACCGCCAGTGGGGGCCAGAAATCTTGCCCCCACCCCTGGCTAAAATCTTTTATGTTTTATTGGTCACTGAAACTGTGAAATCAAACAATATTATTACATATTAATTTTTTTTCACAGGTTGATTAGGGGAGGGGGCCACGGGGGCCCGTGAATTTCCTATAATGAAAAACTTTTTGTTTTGTTTATTAAACTATTTCATTTGAACCATCTTTTTTTCATTTGAACAATTTTTAAGTTAATTATAAAAAACTGAATTGGTAGAAAAATAGTTCAAATGAGCAAGTAATGTGTGTTGATTTGAATTACAGATATGATGTTATACGTACCATGTCATAGTAGTTCAAAAGAACAATAGTTAAAACGAAATAGTTCAAATGAGAATCATCGGCATGGAGAAGAGAGAAGATGATTATAGTAAATATTGTATAATTCCATGAACTAATAACTATTTTGACTATTTTGAAAATAACTTTAATAAACACTCAACTAATAGTTAATACTGATAGTACTCACTAGTCACTATATTGTCTCATGTTTATCATTCGCCGCTCCCTTACTGTAAACACTAAGCGCTGAGTATACCAATAGAAACGTACACAATAACCTCCAGCTGTCTACCCATTACGTCACCAGAGTCCTAAATTAACAAGGTTTTTAACTTTTCATTTGTTTTGAAATGAAATGAACCAAAAAAATTTTCGTTTTGGAATTCCAGAATTTCCGGAAAGCTCAAGATCAAATGTATCTTAATTTTGTTACCAAAAAAATTTGCCTTTCATAGAAAAAACATTTTCTTATTTTCACACGTCAAACTCAAATGATTTCCCAACTTTTATCATATTCTCAAATATTTTCAGGCAATTTGATCCAGGGGGGAGGTCAAGGCCCAAGGGTATCTTTTTACCCCCCTTTTTCTGTAGACTAAGCTAAAAGTTTACTGCAACAATTGTTTTCCAGCAGATACAAAACTAATTATTTGGTCAAATCAGCATATTCTCTGGGGAAGAAAGGATTTTTAATTTTTAAAATATAAACATTTTTTTGTTTTGTGCCTGGGTGTGTGCAGTGTCAGCCTTTAAGAGGGGGGTGGGGGGGGGAATGCAGGGATATAGCTCTATGATTTTGCAGCAAGATGCTTATAAAATATATAAAAATTCTAAATTAGGTAGCACATTCCTTCTATAAAATGATATTCCAGGGCCCAAAAGGTTATATAGCATAAATATGTGAAGTACACCTGCAGTATGGAAACAGTACAACAAAATGGCCGTTTTACACTTTTTTCTAGTAAATTCCCCTCTAATATATATTCTATTCTCTATGGATGTATGTTTTGCCTCATGAGGGTTGCAGGAGTTGCAGTCATTTCGTAATTCTTGGTATATTATAATAGTTTTATTTTTCATCAATCACAATCTGATAGATTTAAAGCTGAAACAACTCCTGTAAGATAATAGAATATGATTCTTTCCTATTTTAAGAATTAAGTTTAATATGATTTTTAAATTGAAGCAAATTTTAGTTTTTAGTCACAAACAACGAAATCATCGATAGTATTTGATAAAACAATTTTTTTCTAAACTGAGGTATCCTTAACCTTATTAACCTGCAGATCCCATCTTTCTATAATATATCTATATTTTTCTTGTCTGAGATGGCTGAGTGAAAAATTTTAAAGTAAAGTTCTCACGCAATAATTTAATATATTTTATAAGAATTTTTTTATTTTGAGCAATTAAAATCTTAAAATACTCTAATACTTTAAATACTTTTAATGCTAATTCCTTTAAAAAAATTCGGGGGGGGGGCTACGCCTCCCAGCACCCCCTCCTCGCTCACAAGTTTTGCTAGGTGCTAGTCCCACTAAATCACAGTTTTATTGGAAGTTTGACCCGGCCCCTTTTCAAAGAGCTGGATCCGCCCCCATATATTTATATCCTCATTTCAAAATTCTATTAGATAAGATATTCTGAATTCATGAAATAAAAGATTGTTATTTTATGAATATAAAATTGGAAATTCAATTATGAAATTTTAAAGTATATTGTAATATTTAAGACAAAGTTACTCCTTCAAAAACTTCTCTTCTCTTTCATTTCGCAATATCTGGAACCTGGTGATTGATCAGTAAGTACACTCCAGGACCTTATACAAGATAATACGTTAGAAATTAGCTCCGTTTATCCATCTAAGAACATGGACAGCTCTCAGACCGATATCTCTTTATCATGACTACCAGAGGACGAGGACTAAGAAGGACATTAGTCTCCTTCCCCACCCTTCAACATGAATATACATCCTCGGAATCCTCAGCATCACTTAGGATATCAGAGGACTCTTTATTTTCTCACGTAGGATCTATGAACAGAGTTACTGGGGCCTTTGAGCAGCTAAAGTCTTTATAGAACATGCAGAAATTCTATATTCTCCAGTTGGTTCTATTAACAGGGACACCCAAGATACAGAGCAACCAGGACTTCTAGGACATCCAGGATACTCAGGACACACACAGGACAGGAGCTAGAACTTCCCGGATCCTGAGAACGAAGACGCCGCTCATTGTAGAGCAACTCTTTACAGACCTGTTGTGGAAGCAGCAGCAGAACCAGATGATTCTGAGTACGGAGACACCGCTCATTGCAGAGTAGCTCTGTACACATCTGTGGTAGGAATAGCTGCAGGATTTGTAAGATAACTAAGACTTCCAAGACGCACAGCACAGGAGACTGCAGGAACAGCTCAGGGAGCAGCTCGGATTGCAAGTACAGCTAACATAGCAGAGACTCTAGGAAAAGCTCAGGGAGCAGCTTGGACTGTAAGTGCAGGTAACATAGCAGAGACTCTAGGAACAGCTCCGGGAGCAGCTCGAATTGTAAGAACGGCTAACATAAAAGGGACTCAAAGAGCAGCTCCAGTAGTTAAAGAAGCAGCTAAAGACACAATTAGAGCATCCCAGATTGTAGGAGCAGCCAAAATGACAGTGACTCTGAAAGCAGCTAAAAGAGATAGTGTAGCAGAGGAAGCTGTTCATACTAGGGTTTCCATCGAACGAAACGTTTCTCGGAAAAATGCGAAAATTTTTGCTCGCATATCGCAAACTTTTTCTCGAAATTTCGCATTTTTTTCGCGAAAATAAAAAAATAAATGAAGCTAAATTTAAAAACCAGAAGTTGCAATAATTATTTGCTCAAAAGAACTTGTGGAATTCTCTGCTCTTATAGCTCAATATTTGAAGTTTTATTATGTCATATAAATAATTTCCCTTTCTTTTACTTTAATAAATGTTTGATGAAGAGAATTTTCCCCGTATTTTTTTCGCGAAATAGATTGAAGCATAATTTCGCGAAAAAAGCGGAAAATTTCGCATTTTTCGCGAGCGAAAGAAATGCGAAAATGAAGCGATGTGGTCGCGAAAAAAAAACTTTCGCGAAACGATTTTTCCTTTTCGCTGGAAACCCTAGCTCTTACAGATCCTGAACTGTAGCAGCTGAATATCTAAAGGACCTTATAAATCATGAATAAACGTTACAGATGTATTTTATAAATAAACTATGAAATTGATCAATCCCAATTCATTTATTGAGATATGCATAAAGAGGTTAGTAAAGGGATCAATACTAAAACTAGAGTACGGGGATCTAGAGTGAAAAATTTGCATAAGCCCTAAACCATTGGTGCAATTGACTTCGAAAATTACATCTGGCTTGTATTTGATAAAAGACAATATTACAATATAATTCTTCAAAAAAAGCTATAAAGTCAACAATTTTCAAGCTTTCAACTTATCAACATATACAGCCAAATCAGGTAAAACTTTGAAGATTGCCAATATTATTATGATTAATATTCATTCTGTTCATTTATTAAAAGTTCCGAGCTGAAGTTCACTGCAATCAAGTTTATCTTTATTTAATTTATTTTATACGAGAAATCATTTAAAAATTCTTTATAATTTGGGTAACTTACTTGACTCAACAAACTTTTTAGAAAATTGTGTAGATCTTTTTAGAAAATTGTGTAGATATAAGAGAGGTTTTCTTTTATCAAATTTACAAAGTTGAGCACAGAGGGACTTACATTAATCCTTATAATTGAAAAAACTTTTTTTCTGTGACAGGCTGGAAAGACATTGCTATGTTAACTTCTGAACAAAATATAAAATTTTCAGATGAAAAGTAAGAAGAAATCATTCATCCTACTTTCTGGATCAAACCATCTAGAAATGCATCACTTCCCTTTTCAGAAATTCTGATCAATAGTCTCAGATATAGAAATTTATTCTGAAACAGATTTTTTAGCTTCGACATTTTAACATACATAACCAGCCCTGTCTTGTGTTGTATACAAACATATTAAATATCAAGGCGTCAATCTATATTTACTGGATGCTAATGGACTGTAAGTACAATCGGCTATTTTGCATGTTGAAAAATAATTTTACAGACCAGGTAACACGCGAGTAAACTGCAGAGGTAACTGTAAATAACGCCGGGCATTTTAGCTCCTTCAGCTAGTTGTCAAAATTAATGCAGAAAGTCTAAATTTATAAAATAAAAAGTGAAAAATAAAAATGTCTAACTCTTATAATTTTAAACATTGTTTGTGTAAGTTAGTCAATTTTGACTTTTAAATATGTGAACTTTAAGTTATTTGGTAAATTTTGAGAATATTTAAAAATATACAATTTTCAAAATTATGTAGTAAAATCTTTAAAACACAATTATTAAAAAATTGATGTTTATATAACTAAATTTTTGCTTTCACATTTACTCAGTTGAAAAGGTGGACATTTATTTTTACAAATGGTATCATTAATTCTTGTGTTAGTGTAGTTCTAGACAAAACTATTTATCTAAAAAAAACTACCGAAAGATTTTCTAAATTATAAAAGTTTTGTTCAAAATTCTAAACTGAATGTTTAGTGTATATTAGACAATATTTCTTTCCAGTGAAGATGAAAAATTTAAACGGACTTTAATGGTAATTTCAAGTGACCCCCATGCAAAGAAGGAAATGTCTGATTCACAACGATAATCGTTTTTCAATGGAGGGTAACTTGAAAATATTGCATTAAAGATATGCAAATATATGAATTTATAAAGTTCGATATATAGGATCCATAGGTTGTTTATAGCTGCATGGTTTGCCCGTATCTCTCTATTATGCCATCTGTTCCAGGCAATCATAAAAGTGTTCCCTCGAATTGCAATTCTTGCAATAAAATGTGAATTCTATGGAAAACACTAAAAAAGAAAATTTACTCGGAGTTCTATAATTTTTGATATAATAATATAATATATATAATGCTTAATTAGTAAGTAATAGTAATACTACGATTAAAAGAATTAA